TTGCAAAGTATTGGTCGAAACAAAGTATTCTCAACGTTAGATTTGTTGCAGGGATTCTGGCAAATCCCCCTTGATGAGGAAAGTAAACAATTGACAGCCTTTAGTACTCCCAATGGTCATTTTCATTTCAAAAGAATGCCGTTTGGTTTGCGTAGTAGTCCAATAACCTTTTCACGGCTCATGACAAATCTATTTCGTAGATTGATAGGAAGTACGCTTCTAGTTTACCTTGATGATCTCATAATCATGTCGCAAGATGTTCAGACTCATTTCCAGAACCTTGAAAAGGTACTTGCAAAGCTCGCTGAAGCTAATTTAAAAATAAAGCTTGCAAAATGTTCATTTTTAAAGCAAAAGATTAATTTCCTAGGTCATACAGTTACACCTTCAGGTATTACATTGAATGAATCAAAAATTATTGCTGCCCGTGATTTTCCAACACCTCGTACCGCAGAAGCCGTAAGACAGTTCACAGGTCTTGTAGGATTTTATCGTTCATTTATTGCTGGATTCTCTATTATAGCCGCTCCGCTTTACAAGTTGCAAAGAAAAGATGAACCCTTTGTTTGGGGAGAGGCCCAGGATCAGTCATTCAAAAAACTCAAAGCAGCCTTGATTTCGTCACCTGTCCTTAGGTATCCAGATTTTTCTAAACCTTTTACGTTGGTTACAGATGCTAGTGACATAGGTCTAGGTGCTGCATTACTTCAAACAGAAGGTCACAGAGATCACGCAATAGCTTATGCTAGCCGCACATTATCCAAAGAAGAGAAAAATTATAGTGCAACAGAACGAGAAGCCTTGGCAGTTGTTTGGGCACTTAAACATTTCAAGGATACAATTTATAATTACCCAGTTCATGTTCTTACAGATCACCAACCATTAATTCCCTTGTTCAAAAATAAGAATCCAGTTGGAAAGTTTGCTAGATATTTGCTCACAATTCAAGAATTCAATCCCACATTTGGATATATTCCAGGAAAGCAAAATGTTGTAGCCGATGCGTTTTCTCGACACGTAGCTGCGATTCAGTTAAATTACCCAGCATTAGATGCTACAGTAGTAGAAACGGAACAAAGACAAGACCCCATATGGGCACCCGTCATTAAATTTTTGACTAAGCAAGACACTCGCCCGATTCATAAACCGCCAGTACCATTGAAAGAACTAGTTATGTTGGACAATTTACTGTGTAGAGTAGTAAAGCTAGGGACAGCCCCGAGGAAATGTTGTCAGTTAGTTGTTCCAGCTGTCTTGGTACCAACTGTGTTAAAAATTATCCATGATGCTCCTGCAAGTGCACATCCAGGAAAGGATCGTACACTCCAACAAGGTCGATTGAAATATTTTTGGCCAAAAATGGCTAAGGAGATTGCTCATTATGTTGACAGATGTTTAACTTGTTTACAGCACAAGGGACATGTTTCAGGACCTAATCCAATTCAGGTGTACCCAGCAACTAAAGCTCCTTGGGAACGAATATCGATGGATTTATTGACAAATTTTGCGGAAACAGAGAAAGGGAACAAACATTTGCTTGTAATGGTCGATAATTTTTCACGGTTTTGCGAACTAGTTCCTATCCCGAACAAAACAGCAGAAACCATAGCCAGCGCATTCCATGACCAAATAATTTGTAGATATAGTATGCCTAAAGTAATCCTTTCAGATAATGGTCCAGAATTCAGTAATAGTATTCTAACTAGCTTGTGTGATTTATATAACATCAAAAAATGTAGCATCATGCCTTATCATCCGGCAAGTAATGGACTAGCTGAACGTACTAACAGGAAAGTGTTAGATGCCTTGAGAGTCACGTTGAATTTTGATAACAACAATTGGGATGATTTTATACCCTTAATTCAGTGTGCTATAAATTCTTCAATTAATGTTTCTACTGGTGACACACCTCACGCTATTCTTTATGGTACAGATAAGATCCTCCCTAATGAATTGATTAACGTACCTCCTACTCCCTTATATAACGTAGATGATTTTGTTCAAGTGAAGCGTAGACAAATGCAATTAGTATTCAAGAAAATACGAGAACAACTGTCCAAAGCAACAGCCGAGTTCACTCTAGCAAGGAATGCACGAGCTAAACCCAATAAAATAACTATTGGATCTGTAGTAATGATACTTAACCAACACAGGTCTGGTCCTATGTACAAGTTAACTAAGAAATTTTTGGGTCCATATAAGGTAATCGAGCTTATTAAAGGTAACAAATACAGACTTAAGAACTTGTTAACAGGAGAGTATATAAATGAACATTTAGACCACATGAAGTTAGCTAAAATGACTGTTGACGAGACTGATGAGGAAGATGACAATGAACTTACCCAGACAGATACTCCTACTCGGACACCACCTCCTGTGGTTGACAGACCACTGGATGTTCAGCAACCCCATACTAGCAATTATAATCTTAGATCTAGACCTCTCGTTTCAACCGTGCACTCACCACATGTCCATTGGCTAGATGTTAACGAGGATATCTCTCAAGATGATAGTTTGTCGCATGAAGTTTCACCTGTTCCGGACCTTCAGTCAGAGCCAGAGTTGTATAGTGCTCTGGATGAGCTAGGTGTAGATATCCGCAGAATTTATAATTGATTGCACTCTGTAGTTATTCTGTTTGTTTTGAAAAAAAAAAAAAAAAAAAAAAAAAAAAAAAACTCAATTGCAGTATTTCTACCACATGTGTCTTATTATTACCATTATATATAATGTATAGTTTTTCTCAACTTTATTTTGTTATGAATTAGATGCCATTGTTAAGTCTACTACCATTTGTATTTTTACAGTGCTTGTCATAAGAGTTATTATTGTTCTAGCAACCACATTGTGGCCAGTGAATCCTGACTGCTATCACGCAGATGTTAGTCTTCTTGATCCAGGTCTTGTATATGCTTGTAAATATATTGCACATTATATATATTGTACATTGGTCTTGTAAATATATTGTATATTTCGAAAAAAAAAAAAAAAAAAAAAAAAAAAAAAAAAAATTATCTATCTTGAAATTCAATTGTGGTTGTTAGGTCAGAACTTTGTTCTATTAATGTAATAATTGTTTAATTTTGTATGGTTTTCAAGCACATGCCATTGACACATGTTAATAATTTTGTTTAGGCAATACCTTGAGTTGTATTGTTCATATCTGATCAGTAGACATACACATGTTCTTAATACTCTGATTTAATCAAAGCATTGTTACCATGATTTTCACCTATTATGATGAATTTTTTTTTTGGTGCATATATGCCGAGTTGTTTGTATTACGCACACCTGATCTTCTTTCAATGTTTTATTATGCAAATTTCACATGTAAGCCATTATTGTATGCCACCGAGGTCCTTTCAGTATCATTGTAACTATATAGCTAGCCAGAGCTTGTCGACAAGGGACGTCGACTTGGTAGCGTGTCCGAGCGGTGTTATACTCAAATTCTGTCAGTTGAAATGTAACCAATCACAGGCAAGTAGGCCTCTGACGTCATGCCAGACAGAGGAGCATCAAGCATGCTCCCAGCAGCCTCAGTTATCCTCACAGACCCAGAGTAGGTGGACCTCGGCTGGCCAGTTATACACCTGTTTGCCTCACTCAATAAATATATACAGAAGCGACTACTGTGTCTACATTCAACCCGAACAAGGCAAACGAATATACTAAAGAAACTGTTCATGACTTTTGTGAGACCGAAATTGGAATATGCAGCAGTTGTATGGTGCCCAAATCTCAAAAACCACATCAGTAAACTGGAAAAGGTGCCACGGCATGCTACTAAATGGCTTCACGAACTGAAAAACAAGTTATGAATAGAGGCGTTAAACATGGCAAAATTTGAAGATAGAAGAAAAAGAGGCGATATGATCACTACAAAATAATAACAGGAATCGATCAAAGTGACAAAGACGAATAACTGAAAATGGCATCCTCAAGAAGAAGAAGAAGCCATAGATTCAAGCTAAGGGAATAATGCTACCGATTAATATGTTACCGAAAAAAATAGAAAGTTTTCTTTTGCAGAGTGGTAGAGGGTTGGAACAAGCAAAGTGAGAAGGTGGTGGAGGTCAAACCCGTCAGTAGTTTCAAAGCGTTATACAACAAAGAGTACTGGGAAGACGGGACACTTTAGTTATACCACGAGTGTAGCTCTCATCCTGTAACTATACGTAGGTAATTACACTCTGTCCACCAGCCCTATACAGTATTTCCCTGTGTCCATCAGGCCCATCCATTATCATCCTGTATGTTCCAGCTCCATCCATTTTCATCATAGCCTCATCCACATTCACCCTGTGTTCACCAGCACTAATAATAGTATCTCTGTGTACACCAGCCACATTCACACACAACAATCATATCCACACCTACCAACAATAGCTCCTCCACGCTTGCCTAATCCAAACCCACCCTGTACTAATCCCGACTCTGTACTAATCCAATCCACTCATATGTGTTTATTCACACCCATTCTCACAATTCTCAGCCACTTTATACACCACCGACTTTATTTGACCATTCGAAGCATTGCTTTAAATGGCAGGGGTGACCATTCAAGGACTTTATTTGGGTCCTCTCCTACTTTATACACCAGCTCTATACTAGCCCCATCCTTGCCACAAACATGACAAGGGTGTGCTGTGTACGGCACCGGACAGTCACGTTCAGGCTAGTAACTGGTATGGTGACGCGCTGACAACGTTGCTCTTGGGGAACCCCAAGAACCTGACAGGTGTGTTGTCCTTTGACTATGGTATACTATGCCATACTATCTTCAGTTGTCATCTGCATTATCCAAACCACCACAGTTCACTTGCGTCAGTCTTATCATCCCACTGACTCCAGTCCCCTAACAGTAGCTCATCCAAACTCATCTAAAATTATCGCCGAAGTACACCCAAACAAATTCCCCCACACCAAACTGTAGCATACACAACCACCATTCACAGTAACCTCATCGATATGCGTTCACACTTCACTAAAACACGAACCTTAACGAGGGTCTCCACTCTGGCAGTGTTGACGGGAAAATTCACGAAAAACTTGTTGCTGGCTTCCATAAACTTTTCGAAGTCGACCCTGGGTGGCGGAGTTACTCTGGAGGCTCCCTTGAGGTACTCCTTCACCACTGCTGAGTCCCACCTCGGGTCGATAAGGCTCGTCATAGCTCTAGTAGGTCTGCTGATGTTAGGAGTTGTTTTTGGGCAGGATTCTTGAGTACGGTCTTGAAGAGGCTCGAGACGAGGTCCAGCACACGATCCTCAAGACGCCCGAAGACCTGCAAACTGGCGTAAAGAGGAAATGCTGATCAATCAGCTCCTTACACTATCACCCTTTGTCCACAGCCTCATCCACTATCACCTTGTGTCCACCAGCCCCTTACACTATCACCCTGTGTCCACCAGCCCCATACACTGTCACCCTGTGTCCACCAGCCCCTTACACTATCACCCTGTGTCCACCAGCCCCATACACTGTCACCCTGTGTCCACCAGCCCCATACACTGTCACCCTGTGTCCACCAGCCCCATACACTGTCACCCTGTGTCCACCAGCCCCATACACTGTCACCCTGTGTCCACCAGCCCCATACACTGTCACCTTGTGTCCACCAGCCCCATACACTGTCACCTTGTGTCCACCAGCCCCATACACTGTCACCTTGTGTCCACCAGCCCCATACACTGTCACCTTGTGTCCACCAGCCCCATACACTGTCACCCTGTGTCCACCAGCCCCTTACACTGTCACCCTGTGTCCACCAGCCCCATACACTGTCATCCTTCCCCACTTTTCCCCCATCTCCCTTTGTCCCCATTGTCCTCATCTCCTTGGTCGCCCCCTTCGTTCATCACCCTGACCTTTCCCTGGTCTCTTCCCCCTTCTTTGAACCCTATCCGCCTCTTCACCCTATTGCCCCCCCCCCTCGCCCCTATTCCCTAGAACACCCCTCGGCTCACCCCCCCCCCCACCTGTTTCCTGCACCTCAAGAAGTTTTGAAACAACTGTATGATTGTTGTTCTCCTCTGCCTTCTTCTATTTTCCTTCTGCATTTATTTCTAGCATTAAAATTCCTGTGGGTATGGATATTTACAAATATTTGTAGAAGCATTTAACTTCGACATACCCCAACCAGCCTATGTCCGTCCCGTACCTTAGACCATTCCATCTGCCAATTTGGGTGAGGGTAGCCCAAGTGTCTGGGCTAGCCTTCTCTCTTTTCTAGTATAGATATATGGATACATATATAACGTCTGTGCGTATTAAGCTTGGTGGATATACATAGGTGTTCGTCAGCTCTGACCCTGCTAGTAGGTTTAGCTCTTTCTCTTCCAATAGCTCTCATTCTAAGCCTTATCCAACTGGCTTCCTCTGGAACAGCCAGCGGTTATGTTACTGACGATGAGGCACGATACCGTGGCAGAAGATATGATGGCCAGACCACACACCAGAAGATGAGGAGACGACGACGACGTTTCGGTCCGGACCATTATCAAGTCGAAACTTCGTCGTCTCCTTATCTTCTGGTGAGTGGTTTGGTCATCATTAGTCTCCGAGCAGAGCAGTCTCCGTGGTGTAGTGGTAAGACACTCGCCTGGCGTTCCGCGAGCGCTATGTCATGGGTTCGTATCCTGGCCGGGGAGGATTTACTGGGCGCAATTCCTTAACTGTAGCCTCTGTTTAACGCAACAGTAAAATGTGTACTTTGATGAAAAAAAAAAAACCGATTCTTCGCGGCAGGGGATCGTATTCCAGGGACCATAGGATTAATACTAGTACGCGTAGCGTTTCGGGACCTGCCCGAAACGCTACGCGTACTAGTGGCTGTACAAGAATGTAACAACTCTTGTATATATCTCAAAAAAAAAAAAAAAAAAAAAAAAACATTACCGATGTTAGTTTGTACTTCAATGAGATTGTGAGCTGAGTATCTGGTATCTGAGATCGTAAGGTCCCTGATTATATCGTCATTGTTCGTGAACACCAGATTTAGAATAATTTCGTTCCTAGTTGGCTCTGTTATCTGCTGGTTGAGTGAAAATTTGTCACAGAATCTAAATAGTTCTCTAATCTGTGGTTGGTTATGTCCAGATAAATTTCCTGGTATAATATCACTTTCCTGAACCGTGGACACAAGAGGGAGTCCGTCGGAGGTCACTTGAAGCCGCCCGGATGCTAGTGTTGGACATCTTTTTATGTCCGACGAACAAATATTTCTATAAAATTCAATTCTTATCCCATCGACTTGGGGATAGTATGAACATGTTTACCATAAAAGTTACGTTTTCTTTAGTAGCCACATAGCCTATTTGGGAGAACGGCATTGTTTTGTATCTTCGTGGTAAAACTATTGTAGATCGCCGATGTGCGGTAACAGATAACACTTCGCCCTCTTCCCACACTCTTGCGGGTGGGCCGCGATCATCATTCTTCATTTATATGCATATGTTCGTGTAGGGAATTTTATTGCGATCTCAAAGATACCAAATTTAACGCTGTAGGACAAGTGTGGAGTTGACAACCCTGAAAACAATGGAAACATCTCGTCGCTGTTTGGAGCTCATGCACTAGCTCATGGCAAGTGATCCACGTATCTTCTTTATTGGTAGTGGTTTAAATCACAGTTTGGTGACATTTTATACATATGTTCTTCTAGAACATTCTATTGCGAACACATTGGTAAAAAAATGAAATCTGTACCTCGAAAATTAAGATCAGGACAGTGAAAAGAGTATACACTTTTCAGTGTTTCCGCTCGGTCGCCTGCAAACGCCGAGAGCACATTGTGCTAACTTTTTTCCTTGTTTGCCGGGTGCACACGGGCGCCTGAAAGTGATATTATTGTTTGCTATTCTCCATCTTAGGCTAGGCAGGTTGAAGTCACTTAGGAAGATAATATTAGGTATCGGGTTTGCCAAATTATCAAGGCTTTTCTCTATTTTGTTTATCAGTTCTGCGAGTTCCTCAGCCGTTGCATCTAGCGGTTTGTATATTAGAATAATAACTAAGTTTATTTTCTCTATTTTTACTCCCAGCACTTCTACCACCTCATTTGTAAAGTTAAGTTCATCCTGTCATTTGTACCCAGACACAGCTGGGACTTGCCTAACTGTTTGAAGTGAACAACTTATCAAACAGGAAGTTTAACAGTTGTCAACACTTAAAATTTGTTGTATCATGCGGGTGCAAAATGGGGAAATCATTTAAGATCAGGATCTATATTTGACAAATAGTGTGAGTTTATTGGGCATCACGAAGGACTTCATCTCCCATTCGGTATCCGGTGTCTGGCTTCCTATTTGCTCCGTCTAGTTTCATTACCTTATATTTATTCGGGTTGAACTTTAATAGCCATTTGTTGGACCATTCCTTCAGTTTGTCTAGGTCATCTTGTAGCCTCATACTATCTTCCTCCGTCTTAATCCTCCTCATAATTTTTGCATCATCAGCAAACAATGAGAGCAACGAGTCTATACCCTCTGGGAGATCATTTACATATATCAGGAACAGTATAGGTCCTAGGAATGATCCGTGTAACGTAACAGGAATGTTTGCTGGTGTGAACGTGTGCGCTTGCGCGATATGAGAGCGCAAATAGCAGTTTACAGCGTTCATTCACTTGCTCCAAACAGTAAACATAATTCATGACGATTCGATTGGCGAATCGAATCTTAACGATTCTTCGCGGCGGGGATCGTATTCCAGGGACCTGCCCGAAACGCTACGCGTACTAGTGGCTGTACAAGAATGTAACAACTCTTGTATATATCTCAAAAAAAAAAAAAAAATGAGCACCCAACGCGTTCCTTGTAAAAGAAAATATTCACAAGTGGCAACTCGCACCCAGAGTTACCACGTAGCCAAACAACAGTCACTAATATAACAATACTCATAATTTACCTGCCGCTGCTGTTGCTGCTGTGGCGGTCTCCAAGCACTTAAATATGTCTTCTTACGGTCGCCACAGACGGACTGACGGGCCCAGCGACGACTACACCCCGTGCACTTGTGCAGTAAAACACGTGGTGCAATATCTGGAGCCGCAGAGGAAGGTGTGACCGTGTGAGGGTGGCGGGGTGCGAGACTACGGTAGAGGGACACGTTAACAATAGTCGGGCTCTCAACTCCACTCCAGGTCAGTGAGGAGCAGATTGCTCGAGTGTGGGGGGATTAGGTGAATAATTCCAAGTAGTTTAACTAGAACTGGAGACCTGGAACCTGATTAGTACAACAGTGTATTTCAGATGTGGCACCACTGTTGTTTGGTTGCTGGGGTGGGGGGGGGGGAGGTACATATATGATTATGAGTACACTCCAAATTTGAGCTTGTGTGCTTGTGGGGGCTGAGTTTGGATTTTGGGGCCCGCCTCTAGCTCTTGACTGTCAATCACTTGGATTTACAGATTCCTGAGCCTACTGGGCTCTATTTACATTAGAAAAACGATTTTCACACACAAAAAATGTTTCTAATGTCTCTGTGACTCATTTGTGTACTCAGTTTCCACCTGTGTTCCCTTGTGCGTGTACTCAACTAGTTGTACTCACCTATTTGTGCTTGCGGGGGTTAACTCTGGCTCTTTGGTCCCGCCTCTCAACTGTCAGTCAACTGATACACAGGTTCCTGAGCCTACTGGGCTCTATCATATCTACATTTGAAACTGTGTATGGAGTCAGCCTCCACCACATCACTGCCTAATGCATTCCATCTGTTAACTACTCTGACACTGAAAAGGTTCTTTCTAACGTCCCTGTGGCTCATTTGGGTACTCAGTCTCCACCTGTGTCCCCTTGTTCGTGTACCCCTCGTGCAACCCGTTCTCGCAAATTTAATAAGTCAATATTGACTTATTAGTTGCGTGCATAGGTGACATACTAAACATAATAGTTTCCCTTGAAAAGCTTCATAGAAAACACCGACCTTACCTAACCTACTTAGTATGTTAAAATAAGCATCTTATAGCTTCGTAATTACAATTGTTACTTAACCTATTATAGGTATAGGTTAGGTAATAATTGTAATTACGAAGCAATAAGATGCTTATCTTAACATACTAAGTAGGTTAGGTAAGGTCGGTGTTTTCTATGAAGCTTTTCAAGGGAAACTATTATGTTAAGTATGTCACCTATGCACGCAACTAATAAGTCAATATTGACTTATTAAATTTGCGAGAACCTCGTGTTAAACAGTTTATCTTAATCTACCCCGTCAATTCCCCTAAGAGTTTTGTAGGTTGTGATCATGTCTCCCCTTACTCTTGTCTTCCAGTGTCGTGAGGTGCATTTCACGCAGCCTTTCCTCGTAACTCATGCCGTAACGTATGCCTCCCGTATGTGGAGAGGATGGAGGCTAGTTTAAGATTCTGTAAATTAAAATTTTTTTTTAAACAATTAATAATATATATATATATATATATATATATATATATATATATATATATATATATATATAATAATACACACACACGTGCATCCGTATACATATTTTAAGAGCATTTTACGAGGGCTGATGCATTGGTGAGACAGGTCCATATATCCATCCACAGCAGAGTGGACTCAGTAAATATGTTATCAACACTTATCTTGACAGGCTCATCCCAGTATATCAACTTGTTAATCCCACCCTCGGTGCATGCTGCTTTGGGGTCCTGTCGTACGGTCCCCAGGTGTGACCCCCGTGTAGGGCCCCATTAACCAGGGCCTTTTCTGAATCAAATTTGACCCAGTCTGCTTCAAGAGGCTGGGGTGGTTCTTCTCCGGCCCCGACCCCCACGGCGATCTCTGGGTTTGGAGGTCTCTGTGCCCTTTTTCACCAACTTCGAGGTCAACCCCGGAACTCTCAGTTCCTGCGACGGCGCTGGAACCAATCGTATTGGCGTATGCCTTTCCATTGGAGACTTTCAGCGCCGTGGAGAGAGGGGGGGGGGGACCTGCTGCCTGGGTAACAGCTTCTCCCCCGAATCAACCTACCCTGGCTTTGCGCCCTGGAGAGGCCACTCCAGACCAGGCCGACACCAGAGCGCAACTCCATAGTCTCCCGAGACTGATGGATGCCTACTACTACTAGGAAAAAAACGAAAGTTCCAAACGTTTTCGCGTTTCAAGACATTATCCAGGAAATACAGGACGTCTGTATTCCCTTGATAATGCGTTGAAACACGATAACGTTCGGACACTTTCGTTGTAATTTCCTAGTGGATACTAGCTTTTATTTTTTTAGTTTTATTTTCATAGCGGATAGAACATATTTTTCCATTACATTATGTAGATTCATGTATATATCTTGCGGATCATAAACAACACATAACCCGCCTCGCTATAAACTTTCAGGAACAAATCGATCCTCACGTGACGGTCCGAAGTTTGCTGCCTGACACAACACCACCTGTCAACACTGCCTGCAAGTGCCTCTAATATTTACCTGCAGGTTGCTGCCACTCCAAGAGTCTGGTTCGCCTGCTTCTCTCCAGACTCCAGGTAAGTTGCTTGCGAAGTGTTCGGCGATGGTGGAGTGCGTGGGATAATTAGATACTTGCTTCCTGTGGTGGAGAAAATGTAAATTCACACATGTTGGTCTCACCGAGTCGCTCTGCGGCCATGAGTCAGGAACTCGTTTTCTCAAATTTGATTATCATAGAAAACAGTTTCTCTTGCTATTTACGGGGTTACTAGTATAAGCCAGACATATTCTTCAGATTTGTTTTTAATTATTAAATCTGCTGTTATAGTATTAAAATATCATCACGTGAATGATTTAACAGTAAAAAAAATAATTTGAGCTAACTCCATGTTCAGAAATTTGTTAAAATTGCTTACTATTAAATTTTGTACATAACTGTGTATGTGTACCTTTGGTTAAGTAATTTGATTATTTATTTATTTATTCATAAGTATCAGATGTTATTTATATGCCTCCTAAAGTGAACGAGTAATTTGTGTTTAGTTTAGTTCATTTATTATGCACCCTATCCCCACACTTCAGTTAAAAATCCATTATAAATAAGAATTGTTGACTCAATGTTGCATCTTGCAGAGCTGTTACCACAGGAGTTACAAAGTTGACCCTTTGTGCTCACAGTATACAAACATGTGCACATATGTTATCCTCCTTAGTGCTGTGTTTAAACCTAGCTTGTTTAGTCTTTATGGAGAAGTTTTGGTTCGAACAGCGTGGTTATGCGACAAGGGGGATGGTTTAATCCTCCCCCAGACAGACCGCGCAAGTGTTTGCTACTGTAGAAGAGAACACCAGCCCTCCATCTCTATAGAAACAACTTGTAGAATAAAACATAAATAAACATTGTCATCACACCACAACTGTCAACATTGTCACCAGTTGTAAGTTGACGCCTCCACCACCAGCGGCAGGATGGACACTGGCAGCAGCAGCAGCCCGGAACAGTTGACGGAGGACCTCCTTACGGAACACCTGCGTCAACTCGCCCTGGTGGAACCACCTCCCACAGTGACTCTTCAGGAGGTAATGGAGAAGAGTGATCGCTTCCCCGTTGTGTTTCCAGTATACACAGCCAGGCTCAAGACTTTGCTAAAGGTGAGTGAGTGAGAGAGAGAGAGAGAGAGAGAGAGAGAGAGAGAGAGAGAGAGAGAGAGAGAGAGAGAGAGCAGCTTATAAATGTTTCTTATAAATAGTTAATGGCTCAGTCTTCGAATTACATTTGCATTATACATTTCCAGTGAAGCATAAATCTTATAGGATAAAGTCGTACACAATTACTAATGCATCTGTACAGAATGTAGATTATTATATAGTTTATGATAAAGACAGTACAGTAATCTTACTATGATCATCAACACACAGTTATCCCATTAATGATGTCAATACTGGTAACTAATGTATGGGTCATTAGGACTTCTTCAGTTTCCTTTTGTTGACATGTTCATGACATGTTCTTATTACTGCCAATACATCTATGTTTGCTCCTATGGCCCCTGACCACCGCTGCTGCCCCCTGGCCTGACGGGCGACGACCTTCTTCAGGGCGGCCTGCAGCAGGAGAGCCTGGAGGAGCAGGTCAACTCGACCTACCCCCTCGTCCACGCCCGGGTCCTGCCTCTGCTCGCAGCCTTCCTTCATTATAAGAGAACCTACGGCAGGAGGAAGGAGAAGTGGGTACTGTGTGGACCTGTTTTGTAATGGTGTGGTGGTATAGTGGTGGTGGTGGTGTTGTGATGTGTGGTATTGTGCAGGTGTCGTGTGCTACTGTGTTCATGTGTTGTGGTATTGTATTGTCACTGAGGTGTGGTGGGATATTGTTGTGTGGTATTGTGGTAGTGAAGTATTGTGTTGATGTGTTGTGGTAATGTACCCATCTAGTTGTGCTAGGTGAGTATATTGCCGTGGGAGTGGTGGTGTGATGTGGTATTGTGATGGTGTGATGTGGTATTGTGGTGTAGTTTTGTGGTTTGCCAAATTGTGTTGAGGTGCATAATATATTATGCATAATTAATTGTGTATAATATACGGGTAGATGTATGTATGTAACTCTGGAAGATACAGATATTGATGTGATGTTACACAATTACTTGTATAATACTGCTGTGTTGATAACCAAACCACACATCAGAAGAGGAAGGAACGACGACGTTTTGGTCCGTCTTGAACCATTATCAAGTCGTGTGTTGTCAAGACATGAGTTCCAGGACGGACCGAAACATCGACGTTTCTCCATCTTCTGCTGTGGGTCGGTCGTCATATCTTCAGCACATTACTGTGACTCATCTTCTGCATTGCTATTATATTTTATACGTGCGAGTAAATATATGTGCATTAGCACATATTAACTTATGTACTGAAATACATTTCTTTGTTAATGAAGCCAGTCGTGTCTCCCACAGAGAGCTGTACTCCTCGCTGAGCCTGCTGGACCTGGTCGACCGCCTCCTCAAGAAGCGACCCATCGTCTTCTTCACCCCCATCGACAACTACGTCCTCCGGGATGGCACTGAGGGCTGCGACGGCTTCGAAGAAATCGGCCACTCTCACGAGCGTGCCAATGTGTGCCTACAGGAGTACATGAGCTACGATGAGATGAAACTCGCAGCTCTGGTGTGCGTGTCTTCCAAGTCGACCTTTATCAATGATGGGAGCCGCCATAACCGCGGAGTGCCTGGGGCCCCGGGTAGCTACCAACCGGAGGGCATCATCGTGGGTATGGTGGGCACCAGGTTCGAGCGTGAGGGAGTCATGGAGTGGCAGGACTGTGTAGTTACTCCCGACCAGAATACCCATGACCGCGGGTACGGTGACAGCCCCCCCAAAAAGCGGTGGCTTGTGCGAGAGTGGGGTCGACTCTGGGGTACAGTGCCCCTTCCTACTTGGAAGCAGGCAGAAGAGGCACCTGAAGGTATTTTCATCAATTTATCTTCCAGAATGTTCTTAAACTCCCAAGTATATCAGGCGCGCATTCAGCTGTCGGCGGAGACGCTGCTGGCGGAGGCCGGGGTTCGTGCTGCTGCTGCAGGAAAGAAGGCTTACGTGCACGTGGTGGGACTGGGCCTTGGGGTGTGGCGGGTCTCCTCCCATCAGAACCAGCTATACGTGGATGCCTGGGGAGCGGCGCTGAAAGCTACTGACACCACACACATCGCCCATCTTGACTTCAGTTGGACTAAGGCGTCAACGTGTTGTGGGGTAGGCAACGGAGAAGTCTTCCCCGATACCAGCGTCACTGTACACTTCTCCCAGCGGAACCTGCACGCACCTGTCCCTGCTGGCACAATACTAGTCTCCACCTTCGCCTGGGACAGCAACGCATTCCCCGGGAACGAGTACTGGAAGGGCATGCTGTCAGCTTCGGGAGATCCGGCGGCAGCCTGCTCCTCAAGTATCGCAGAGTTGCACAATACTCTCATCAACCCGCGCGTGACAGCTCAGAACCTGCACGTGGTATCATCTAGAGGGGTGGAGCACGTGGCAGAGTACTCACGTCGGGTACTTAACACACAAGACTCCAGTACATCTGACACAAAATAGACACAATCATCCCATCAGTGAGCTTGGGAGTGCAGGTAACAGCTGTGCCAGTTGGAACTGTTCTCAGAGAGGACGCAAGCAGACTAGCTAATTCTGTGATAAGTGAAAACCTTCCAGAGACTTGAACTACCATTGGTAATTTTTCCTTAGTATAGCAATAACCAAAGATATATCATATTTCATTATTTGTTTATGTAAGTCGGCAAGTTTTCACTGAAATCACTAAATTAAACATTTCGCAATCTTAAAATATAATTATAATTACAAAATCGACTGTGGTCTTGGAATCCAGGTTATGGAAAATGCTCATTTCTCACAAGTGCTTTTACCTAATTAATTACGTGTTCCCCTTACAAGATAAGGTGCGTCTATGAAACATTCCCTCTAAACTATCATAAATAAAAATGAGTTTGTCAAATGATAGAACAAATATATATTTAGCTATTATCCACCTCCTAGTCAATTTGGTTTACTTAATTTATCAAAAGTTTCTTTATTCTCATACCAATCATAGATCGACTTAGATCAGCTATCCAAAGATAACCTCAGCGATCACCTTTGGCTTGAATGAATTAAGACCACATTTTAAATTAACTATGTCAGCCACACTGGAACTTTTCTTGTCTCGTTCCCCAACCTAACCTCATTGTCCAATCAGAATATAAGAGCTTGAGAGTATTCGTAATACAGTTTAGTTAAAACGTAGAGAAGTAACTGCCAACAGACAAATATAACTCTGCCCCTCGCCGCAATCATAAACATGCATGCATACGGGTGTTACTGTTTTCTGCACTTTGTGCTTTTGTTGATATTAAAGATTCATAACTGATATTTATGAATCACAAATGAACATTTAAACACAATATTTGCTTTAATTCTTAGATTTGGATGGGCGGAAATAAACTGCTCTATCCATATTTCTTCACCACGTGTTTGCAAGGTGTGATCAGCAAAAAGTTTAATATATGGTTCATATACCATTAAATGATGAATATTATATTATATATATATATGATTTGATTTGATTTACGAACATTATAAATATTAATTCTTAGAAGACTGCGTATGTCATTTGACATTTGTCTCTATAGAAATTTAAGGAGAAAAGTTATGCTTATAAATCCCAATAATTGCCAAGATTTGACATCTCTCTGGCTATTTTTACATAATAAAATTATAAGCCTTATAAAAAAAAATGATTAAAATAATTTTGGAGCACATGACACTATCGTGCTCAAAATTATTTATTCAAAATCTTAAATTTGAAATCATTGTTTTGTATTTGTCTTCATTCGCCCACATTTACTTTCCATATTATCTGAAGCTACAATAAAACTTTTCTTTTAAATTATTTTACCAAATATAATTTAACTAAGGTTTTTTAGAATAGCTAATTAATCCGATTTGACATCAAGATATTAACTGAATGATGCGTCTCCCTGTGATCAATCAGCTTATTCATGCACTTATAATTCCATTCTTTAAACAGCAGTACACAGCAGAATGTCGCTTTACGCTACAGGGAAGCTTGTCATCCTGATTAAAATACATTTTTTTTGTTTGTCAATCTGTTGATGACCAATATTTATTTTTCAAGTAAAATGTGTATAATATTAAATAAATATAATTCACTTTTTAACGTATTTCTATATTCTTTGTTCATGACGCCACATACTAATGAATACGCCCTATGTAGGTGTCATTCTTAATAGGCAAGGTTATATATAAGCAACGTAAGGTGTACCCCTAGTTCTTGATGAATATACACTAGGAGTTTACTTTAGTCCTCTTTCTTAAGAGACAGAGAAAGGGATAGGGATCTCGGACTTATAGGGAAGTCCGAGATGGGTGCAGAAATCTAAAGGACGAGATTCAAGATCAGGCTTATGAAGAAGGAAAGATTGAGGAAGATGAGAACCTGAGCTAACATAAAAAGTATGAACCCAGTTCGGACGCGACCTGCAACAGGTCCGCCACAAGATTACCACAGAGGTGGAGGACCGGGGAGACATCGGGAACCAATTTACCCGCTATCTTGCGGATACACTTCCAGGTCAGCGTGAGAGGAGTGTCGGACGTGATGGAGTAATATGAAAGAAAAAGCTTCTGTAGTACTGTTAATGCTGTAAGGCCGTTGGATTTAAGCCCATTTTATCATCAAATAAAAACATGCAGGGGGAAGTTAAACTCGGTATCCTGTACAAAAGGCCGTGCAGGGGTGACTGTTAAAGAGGGGTGAATGCTTTTGCTGTTGAGGCTGTTCAATTCAATTAGCAACATCCTGTTTCATCTGCAGGGGTCACTGTTATTAGTCCTGTAAGGCCGTGCTCTTAAGAGGATGCACTATTGGGGAGAGTTGTAATTCCATAGCATAGAGAAAACTGCCTCTTCCATCTTACCTTCGTTATTCATCACTACATGTCTCGTATTACGACCAGTATGAAGTTCAACCCAGATGAATGTCTGGACATCACCACCAGTACATCCTCCACCTAACCCAAGAGCCCCAGGCAGGTGTTAGACGTCTTGACTCTCAGGTTCCTCGTTACGTCCATTAACCACCAGTAACGCCGACAGCTCTTCGTTCCAAGCCTCAGTGACAAAAGATGGGACGTCACAATCAGGGGTATAAAGTAAGTAATTATCAATAGAAGGCACCAAACCGGGAAGGCTATGTAGCACCGTCAAAGTGCGGGATAATCGGAGGGCACTAAATATCACCAAGGATGCCAATACGGGAACAAAAACGCATAAGGCGAACGATATCAAAAGTATCAGAGTCGCCAAGAATTCTATCAAGGGACAAGCGACCGCGGGGGACAGTCGGAAAACAAGACACACGCTCGTCCTGGAAGTCAGGACATTCAACAAGGATATGTACGACCGTAAGAGGGACAATGCAATTCGGACAATAAGGAGCAGGGCGGCGCTCCATCAAGTGACCGTGAGTTAAACGGGTATGGCCAATACGTAACCTAGCCAGAGCCATTTCCCACCGCCGGTTACGGTAGCAGGAGGAAGGCCACTGGGACACACAACTCTTAAGAGTACGCAGTTTGTTACCAAGAACAGAAGACCAACAACTCTGCCATCGGGCAAGGATGGAGGCATGAATAACTGGGTAAAAGTCAGAATAAGGAACACCTTTATGGGAGATGGGACAAGTGCGGATAGCGTCCTTAGCGGCAGCATCCGCACGCTCATTTAAAGACACACCAACATGGCTGGGAACCCAGCAAAACGCAACTGACTTAAATTTACTGGAGATAAGAAACAGCCTATGTTGAATCTCGATGACCACAGGGTGGACTGGATTAAAGGACCCTAAAGTAAGTAATTAATTATCAAAAGAAGGCACCAAACCGGGAAGGCTATGTAGCACCATCAAATGCGCTGAATAATCAGAGGGTGCTAAATATCACCAAGGATGCCAATACGAGAACAAAAACGCATAAGGCGAACGATATCAAAAGTATCCGAGTCACCTAGAATTCTATTGAGGGACAGGTGACCTCAGGGGAATAAATACCCCATGACCTCGGTCATTTCCTCAGTCTCTAATCAGGTGCTCAGGGAATCCACATGACTGCCTCTGCATGACGCTTGTTCGTGTGCAGGTTTTAGTTTTTGTGTGAATATTTTGTGTCGCTTAGTTAATACATGTGTTATTATCACTTGAGTGATAGCCAAGTGTGTGTAATTAGGGGTTTTGGGTATTTTTCATGTTAGTTGTTCATTTTGAAATTAGAGTAAATTGTCTATTTTGTCTGAGTATCTTTACTCTAGTGCAATTTTCACACTGCAAAGACCAATGAGTTTTTTTTAATGGGAAGTGTGTGCCATATTCCATCTTCCCGGTATAGCCACCGTTATCACATCACAAGAGTTAGCAATTCAATTGGCAATATAGTTCAAGTTTACTTCTTTGGAGTGTTATTGCAGAGGTTTGCATTCCTGGCTTCTCTGCTGAGATTCCCAGTACAACTGCTACGGAGATAAGGAAATCAATACGATAAGCAGTTGGAATATGACAAACTTCTTTATTTGAATCGTTTTCCAAAGGTTTTTCAAGGTAACGGTAAAGACGGCGTTCCTACTCCCTCTTGTTCTTACTTTTTCTACTGTCGCCGTCAAAGATTTTAGTAGACATGAACCTGAAGATACGACGAAGGATGAAGAAGAGAAGGAAGAGAGCCAGGAGGAGCAGCAGCAGGACGTCGAGCATGAGGAACTCCACCCAGGAGAGCTGTGCCGCCGGGGACCTCAGCTGGGGCGCCCCACGGTGGCGGATGACGTACTCCGTCCAGAACACCGCCCGGTCCCTGGGCGACGTCGGCTGGTCCCTCATCCCCGCTGACATCCTCATCACGTTTTTCTTATACCTGACCACCAAGGAAATCAGAAGGAAATTAATTAATATTCCTCTGTGTCAATTATGAGTCACATATCTTTGGTTGCCTGTTATATGGTAATTGCCGATTCTTATTGTTACTGGCTCATTCTCTAAATGAATGAGCAAATAATCTCATTCTCTCACTCATGTGGAGTGTGAGATTCCACATAAGTGGTTCACCAGAATTTAGGAGAGAGAGGGAAGAAGAGAGGACAAACTGTTCGAGAAGGCGGCCTCGGGTGTTTGTCAGAACATCACCCTAGAGGGTATGTTGACAGTTGAAATCGCCCAACAGGAGCACAGGCTTCGGCAAGGAGTCCAGGAGGTGCTCAAGATCAGGAAGAGAAAGTGGGGCATTTGGGGGGGGGGATAAATGGAACAAACCTTATTCCATTTACTCACAAAGACATGGGCATAAGAATATTGGATAGGCGATGGAAAAAGTAGTGAGACGAAGGGAATATCAGTACGAATCAAAAGAGCAGTAGAGTTACGGGCCCCAGCAAGAGGGTGAGGGAGGGGGGGAGAAAGGAATAACAACGAAAGTGACCAGGACGAGCACCAAGCATCGGTTCCTGGAGACAATCACAAAGTGGTGAAAACTGTGTAATCAGAAGTTGGAGTTCATGGAAGTTGGCACAAAATCCACGAATATTCCATTGAAGAACAGACATTACCAAGAAGAGAATGGACAGCAACAGAAAACAACGAAGAAACAAATGTAAAGAAAAACACAATATTAAATAAGCTCAGGGTCATCGAAGGTATTTTGCTCATTAACAACTTGTTACTTGAGATAGCGAACACATTAAATTGTGCTGTAAATGACAAATTACCTACAAAATGTTGAATCATAAATGTTACAACTTCCTGTAGTTAAATTTTTTACCTTAAAATAGCATCATTCATATTCTCTTAATGAGGATTGGCGATGTATTAAAGTAAAAATTAAATTCACCAATAGAAAATTGTGCTTGAATGAGCTCCATCGTTTGTTAAAGTGAATGTTAATTTTTACTCTAAATAAAAATTTAGAGTAAAAATTTTTATTTTTAAAAGTAAAAATTAAAAATTTTCCCACATGAAAATTAATTGTCCTTTAACCTCAACTGATTATTGCAACAATTAAACTTACGGTTCAACACTTACTTAGGGTCAGTGGTGATATTGTTAATCGCGTGAACGATCATGTCCTCAGTCAGTTCCTCCCACACCAGACTGTCTCCCAGTCCAGTCCCCTTCACGAACATGGCGTTCTTGAGCTGGTCACCGAAAATGGGAATTGCGAGGAGGGGCGTGGCATGGTAGATGGCCTCCTGCAGACTGAGGAGACCTGCATGCGTGATGAACACCTTCACGTTGTCATGACCTGCGGTACACAAGGGTTTTAATGCATAGATAGCATTTGTTTCAATGAAAATGTATCTTCTATGCAAATTAAATCATCTACACAAGTATGCCTACTATAAGGACTAAAAAAGTATTTTTAATTATGTTATTTTTCCAAGGCCTTCACGGCCTGCCTAGATATTACAAAAATTAATCTTTTATTCATCTAAAATCATTAACCTTATACAATAGAAGAGAATGTGTGTGTCTAAAGTTGGAGGCCAGACGCTTGTGGCTAGCCTCACTCAAACTGGAATGGTTTGGGGTACAGGATGAACATACGACGGTTGGGGTCGTCAGAATCCAAAAAGGAACAGCATGGCAGGACAGAACATTCAGACCTGCGCAACAATTTGTGTCTGCCCACTGGCTACAAAGCTAAATATTTTGAAACATACTGCGAGAAATTTTTACCCACTATATCTATAATATCTAAGAAATGTATAATTTCTATATCATATCTATATTATATCAAATCATATCAGAATCATTATAGAATCACTATAGATTCATTATACATGTATCTTTCACATGTATCTTTCATTTATCAATTCTGATTGAAATTACCTACTTAAAATTATCTGCTAGATTAAGGACCTGCCCGAAACGCTGCGCGTACTAGTGGCTTTACAAGAATGTAAATACTGTACTACCCAATGTATTCTCACAAACCCAATGTACCTTCTTGTATATAAAAAAAAAAAAAAAAAAAATACAACTTGATCCTAGATGACAATGTCACTATGATCACGTACACCATAGGGCCCAATAGGTGCCTATGTGACCTTGTGCATGATCTCTCAAGGATCCAGAAGCTTCTAAAAGGATTTCTTAATTAAAAAACTTTTGGAACATGATTCGATTTCCGGTAGGGATTATAAATCGAATCCTTAATAAGAATCATTGGTACTATCAAGTACTACTTATAATCTTTAAATCCTATATCTAATTATATAATAATCACTATCTCAATCATATGTCTAGACAGTAAAAGTAATCAATCAATATTCATTGAAAGTTACCCCTCTCAAGGGAGAGGGAGGGGCATCTCGGAAACAAGAAGCGCCCACGACACCCTGCGGCACTACACCCTTCGGCACTACGCGTTTGTTGACAACACAGTGAACAAGTGTGAGGGTACCTTAGCGAACATTACTTAGCTCAGGACACCTTATCGAATTATCTTTATCACCAGTGAACACACTCTAGAACTGGGTTAGTACCTGGACAATATATCTACAAGGAAAATTCCTAGAACATTTATATCTATATAAGTGAAGAGTGGAGCACACAGTGACTCTTGCCTCCACCATCAACTATCATTCTTCTGCAACGCAGTTATAGAAAAATCACATAGCAACGCTACAAGAACAATCTACAGCAAAGCTGTGATATAAAATATCGTGCCTAAACTCGACAAGGAAGAGTTATCCAGTATGGCACATTGTCAGACAGGCACCCAGCAAGCAGAGAAGTATATTGAATGTTATTACAGTAGTGTATTAATTGGCCAATTGTATGCTTGTACGACTTTAATATCCTATAAGTCTGTCTGTCGGTTATAAAGCGAGGCATCGCCTCATATTTCAGTAAGTTTATTAATATTGTAGTGCAGCAGTTGAATCTTTAAGCACTAAACCTCACGAGTGTCCATTGTGTAAGAAAAGATTCAATCAAGGTAAACAAAATCTCATGAGTGTCCATGGTGTGGGAAAAAATTCAGTCAGGCTGACTGTACCTCATCATATAAATACATCTGCATATATACTTGAATATATAAATTAAGTTAACAATTGCTTGCTTAGTTATTTTTAAGTTATCATATAAGTTCATTTAATTGAATATAATCTTTAGTACTTAGGTAACAGTACTTAGACTACATTTAAGGTCATTTATCATACTTATACAATTTAAAATTGTTGTTTATAGTATAAGAATATATTGGCTGTTAATAGTTATGGTGCTAGGCTAGACTATGTACGTGTTTAAATCTCTGATTTAAACGGAGCCAGTGTTCAGTCATTGAACTGAATTTATTAAATCTTATCTTTGTATAAAATACTAGCTGATGTGAGATACCTATCTGTCATTAGGAAAAGAGGAGCTAGGATTTACGACCCTAGCTAGAGATTTTAGTTGAATTAATTTGCAGACAGAGAAAAAAACAGGCAGACCGTAGAGGGATGAATAGGATAGAGGGATACAGGGGGGTGATGGATGGATGGGATACAGGGGGGTGATGGATGGATGGGATACAGGGGGGTGATGGATGGATGGGATACAGGGGGGTGATGGATGGATGGGATACAGGGGGGTGATGGATGGATGGGATACAGGGGGGTGATGGATGGATGGGATACAGGGGGGTGATGGATGGATGGGATACAGGGGGGTGATGGATGGATGGGATACAGGGGGGTGATGGATGGATGGGATACAGGGGGGTGATGGATGGATGGGATACAGGGGGGTGATGGATGGATGGGATACAGGGGGGTGATGGATGGATGGGATACAGGGGGGTGATGGATGGATGGGATACAGGGGGGTGATGGATGGATGGGATACAGGGGGGTGATGGATGGATGGGATACAGGGGGGTGATGGATGGATGGGATACAGGGGGGTGATGGATGGATGGGATACAGGGGGGTGATGGATGGATGGGATACAGGGGGGTGATGGATGGATGGGATACAGGGGGGATGATGGATGGATGGGATACAGGGGGGTGATGGATGGATGGGATACAGGGGGGTGATGGATGGATGGATGGATGGGATACAGGGGTGATGGATGGATGGGATACAGGGGGGTGATGGATGGATGGGATACAGGGGGGTGATGGATGGATGGATGGATGGGATACAGGGGGGTGGGGGGGGATGGATGGATGGATGGGATACAGGGGGGTGATGGATGGATGGGATACAGGGGGGTGATGGATGGATGGGATACAGGGGGGTGATGGATGGATGGGATACAGGGGGGTGATGGATGGATGGGATACAGGGGGGTGATGGATGGATGGGATACAGGGGGGTGATGGATGGATGGGATACAGGGGGGTGATGGATGGATGGGATACAGGGGGGTGATGGATGGATGGGATACAGGGGGTGATGGATGGATGGGATACAGGGGGGTGATGGATGGATGGGATACAGGGGGTGATGGATGGATGGGATACAGGGGATGATGGATGGATGGGATAAAGGGGATGATGGATGGATGGGATAAAAGGAATCGTGCATTGATGAATGGGATAGAGGGATTGATGGATGGATGGGATAGAAGAATGGCTGATATAGGGATTGATGGATGGCTGATATAGGGATTGATTGATGGATATAGGGATTGATTGATGGATAGAGGGATTCGATATATGGATGAATGGATAAATGTAAAAATAGATTAATAGATAGACAGATGGAGACAGACCTGGGCAATGTTGGGTATCCTTCCAATTTTATATATACATAGTCAGGATACTTTTCAGCCTCAAAATACTTTAATGATGGGAGAGATGAGTAGAATTAAGATATACCCAAGAAGTTAACCAAGTCTTAACCGTCATTGGTGTACTAACATACAATGCCTCAAGACAATTATTCGGACTAACACAGTTTATAATACTCACCGAGAATATCCTGCTGAGGAAGCCAGTTAAGAATCTTTACGTTTGCCGAGACCTGGAGTTCTGCGTCGTCAAATTTCCAGATGACGCGCTGTGGCAGCCTGCGGAAGGCCTGGATGAAGAGGTCGCGGTACTTGATTGGCAAAGAGGCACTACGCGCGATGGAGCCCAAGCTGAAGTAAATAACGCCAGATGATCCCGCCTCTGTGATCCACGACTCTAATTCCTGTAAGATACAGTGTACTCATCACAACTTGTCCGATGTTTGGACAGGTTGTGTTATACAGTATTAAATATTTTCCCTTAACTAAAGGTGTATCTTTGAACAAAAAATAAGTATAATATTTGTGCATGTGGCATGTTATGGGTGGGGGGGGGAGCTCTCCTGGACAATGCCGCCCAATACCTTTAGTTACGGGGGTTGAGAGACCGGCTTCTCCACGCTCCTCTAGTTCCTGAATTCAAGTCAACATTTAACCTCGAAGTGATGAGATTGAGAAGTGATGAGATAGGGAGGTGATTGAGGACGACGTCCTTAAATTTTTACAGTATACACACGCAGGAGACGGTAGGTTAGGCATCGCCGCAATTGTGGCAGCGAGCCTGGGGAGGAGATCACTCTTAGAGTGGCCTGAGTTCACACGCATAGGGCATAGACACACTGTACTCATGCATTTGAGGGCAACATACCCAAATTTCCAGCACTTATTGCCAAGTCTAATAGAGGGAATATACTCGAGAACAGAGCATCTGGCACCAGCAAAAATTATAGAAGTTTGAAGGGTCCTGCTATCAAAAGTTATTTTCACAACGCTGAGAGGCTGATGACGACGACTACGAGAGGGTCGAGTGAACGTATCAACCTGGAGGACAGAATGGCCCTGGGCTTCAAGGATATGTTTAATATCCTCATGGTAGTCTTCCAGATCTCTAACATCAGTCGCAACATGATGCGGGAGGATAACGGTGCCAATACTGGCACTTAACCGGGCATTTTTGGAGACCCTACCAGGAGTTTCCCGAATGCTGGACAACGCAGCTATGCAAATCTTCAAGAGGAAACTAGATTGCTTCCTTCAAGGAGTGCCGAACCAACCGGGCTGTGGTGGGTATGTGGGCCTGCGGGCCGCTCCAAGCAACAGCCTGGTGGACCAAACTCTCACAAGTCAAGTCTGGCCTCGGGCCGGGCTTGGGGAGTAGAAGAACTCCCAGAACCCCATCAACCAGGCAGCTGTATCACGAGAAGGAGCAGCAACGATACGTGTACCAAAATGGATGGGGTTAAAGGTAATGGAGGCATCCACCGAATCAATGAGGTGTTTTTATGGAGGAAGAAATCGTCAGTACGTGTAGAGTCCAGATGGTCGAGATCAAAGTAGTTAGTCCATGTAGCGGGACCATACAAGGTGTTGAATGTATTAGTACTGGAAAGGATCGAGCAAGGGCGTCCGTGGGAGGGGCGGCACCGAGTCACAATTAAAAACGTTGCCACTCCAGATGACGAGGTGGTCACCACTGGGGGCTTGGGGGGGGGGGGGTCAACCCTACCACAGGAGGAGGGGAGCAGAGAGGGGGGGGGTAGTTGGGATGGTCAAAGGAGTAGCTTGGTCTGGGACCAATGAAGCGGGGGGGGGGGGGTTGCGACTCAGTCCGACTCGGGGCTTGGTCGCCCACCCCAGGAGCCTGGGAAGCTACAAGAGGATAAATCAGTGGCATAGAAACGAGGAGGTAAGAATTTCACGAATGTGCCCCCATACCCACCATGGAGCCACAATTAGAGGACAGGATACAACAAGATACCAGCTGAGGTCCCCCCCCCCCCCCCAGGAGTGCATCGTGAGTATACGCCCCCCAGTCAGTCCCTCGAGATCGGGTTCAGCAACGAAAGGAGGACTGACAATAAAATCGTCCCTTCACTCTCGATGTCGGGTACCACAGTTCTACAGATGAAAGAGTGTGCGCCTCCCTAAACACCTGGGCGTAAAAACAGAAAATGTCTGAAAGAATAATCAAGACTGGCAAAAGGTCGGCGGGAAAGACAATGAGAAAGGAGAAGAGAGGGGAGAAAACCGAAACGCAAGGAAGAGTGAATAGTGACCAGCACAATTAGTAAAGACGGCAACAGGAGCATAATGTCCTGCCCTCTACCTGTGAGGGCAGGACAACTCACCTGGGGCAGAGGGCTGGCGGGTCGACAGTGCATGCCGCCCACCTCCACCTGTGAGGGCAGAACAACTCACCTGGGGCAGAGGGCTGGCGGGTCGACAGTGCATGCCGCCCACCTCCACCTGTGAAGGCAGGAGGGGCAGTGGTATACCAATACTAAAGTGGGTGTTCATCAGCGCCAGACTCATGTTCCTCTCCAGGTCCAACAGCAGCGGCAGCTCCGGGAACTGCGCAGAGATCTGAGGAATAACACCAGACCTTCAATGCATGCAGGTCAGACACAGTACACTGCCCAACACGTTAATGTACAAACCATATCCAGTAGTAGCAAGGAGTGACATTTAATTTTGATATGAAATTCATTGACCTTAAAACACTCGTCACACATTTCTGCTATGTGATCATAGAATATCAATTTATTTGCTGACTTGCAGTTTCATATATACTTTCTCTATATATTGTTATGATCCCAGGCTGCCTGAGAAACGAATCTACCTTGAGAGTTATTCTGCCAGACCTGACCTAAATAAAGGGTCAAAGACACAGACATGTCAATGTATATAGTAAGCATTCGATTAGATTTGTCAAACAGTTAAAAGCATGGGCAGTGAATGAATGTGTACATAAACGACTTGACATATGTCAAAAGTTTGTGAGGAAGGCATGAGGCTCATGTCAGGGGTCTTTACTTGAGCAACAACCGTCGTGGAAGCATGATGCAGTGTTTTTAAGCTCTTGGTAGCAGAGGAAGATTCTCTGATTACGTGCTCCATCAAGAGAATTATTCAGGTATTCTTGTATGAAGCCTGGGGAACGACATCGTGCTCTTGTCTGGAAGAGGAGAAGCCCTGTAGAGAAGTTTAAATAGCAATTTGGTGGCATAAGGAGCACGTCTTCAACGTCTGACACTGAGGCCAGCAAGCGTCCTGGTACATCTAACTCTGTGGTAAACCTTTTTCAATCAGTTTACAGTGATTGTATTTGATCGTGTGCCCAGCGATCATAGTAAGTGTTTGTGAGTACGTTAGGCATGTTTTGATGAGGCAGAAGGCCAAAATAAGAGTAAAGATGGAGGAACGTCCTGGAGGGCGGAGCGACATCCATCCACTCCAACCACTGGTGGGCGACTGAGTGCGAGGGCCGCCTGGGAAGCGAAGGGCTCCCAGGGAGGCCAGAAAATGGACCAGCCCAAACGTGGGGGAGTCACCTCACAGCATATAGAAAGCAGGGAGATGTCAAGTGAAACATTATTGTGTACTTTATGTTAGCTATATGTTTGTAGAGGAACATTTTTTATTGGCATGTAGATGGGTTGCAGGTTTGTCCTGAGGAAGAAGTTGATGGGAGTACTTTGAGGCCAGAGGAGAAGTTAATGAGTGGAACTTCAAGGCCGTAGGAGTGGATATTGAACCCTGTGGAAGAGCAGAACCCCATAGTGAGGTGGATCTCAAAGTGTGGGAAGAGGAGCAGTGAAGGGAAGATTCACGTGCTTCTGTGAAACCAGTGGTGAAGCACAATTGCTAAGAAAGACTTCATGGTGTAGCAGTCGTTAGAGCTGAGGAAGACCCTGGTAGACAATTCTAAGAAGACCTGAAGGTGTTCAGGGTGGAGAGCCTCTGCTTGTAGAGAAGAGGTTCTTAGTAATTACTTATGGAGTGTCGGTAGAGCGTTTGAGTGTCATTGGCGTGCAAGACTAAGGAAGGTGCGTCTTCCCCACCTGAAGAGAGAGAGATCTAGGGCTGATAGTGCCGTTGTATATGACAGTGCCATATTTACCTTCAAAGATTTAACCCACCTAATGAGGTTGATAGCGTAAGTGGCGAGTCAGGAATTGGACCACCACTCGAGATAAACAGCTGATAGAGTCCCGATGGGATTGATTGCAATAGCATAGAAGTGTTGGAGTTATTTTTGTATCTTGTGAATGTGTATATGTTCTCTGTATATTAAATGTTTATAACTACAAGATGTTTGCCCTTGTCCCACTGAGGATTTCCAGAAAGAAACAGAGTGAGTGTGTATATACAGAGTAATATTTTTGAAAAGGGGATTGAGGTGGTCATACCAAATAAGGTGAGAGTGGGGAGTCAAGGCGGCTCGAGTGGGGTGTATGCACGTGACAACGAAGTCAGTACTGGAGCCGCAGCCTCTAAACGTGACGTTGAACCCCTCTCCATGTGCCAGAATCGCCTAGGGTGATCTGGTCAAAATAAGCACTCTCCGGGTTTTGGGTTGGGTTGTCCGTAAGGAAGGACGACCAACATCAACAACATCATAATAATATAAGACATTATTTAACAAAAAAAATAATTTCCCAATCTGTGATACTCAACTCTTCTTCCTCATGCCTAGTCTGCAGTTTATCACTTGCTTGAACACAGAGTTAGTTGCCATTTAAATCCCCACACCTCACCTCTTTCTGGACGAGTGGAATGACAACCAAGATCCGCCAGTAAACAGCAAATCCTATGTTAAGCATCAGGTCGCGGAAGCGATGCCAGAAGCTCCTGGACTTGGAGAAATATGCAAAGTTGGGGACGTAGGCCGGGTTGAGGACGTTGCCCAGGACGGCGCTCTGGCGTGGGTCCATCCCTGGAGGGGAGAGGAAGATGAAGGGAACCTCGTGCACGAAGGGATACACCACCTGCGGGAGAGAGAGCCAAGAAACTTAAAGAGGCAGCTATGATACTATGACCCTGAATAAAACAAATACTAAAACAAGTAGAGTATAATCAATCAAGAGAGAGAAGAGCGAGCTTTTAAAACAATAGTTACCACCCAGATCACATGCTGAATCTTCGGTGTGTTCTCAGACTGTGACAACGGTCTCTCGACTGTACACTGTATTATGCATTTCTTATAATCTTTTGCTCCATTAGGTTGATATTATGCTGTGCATATTAGGAACATGGGCATATTGGTTAAGTAATTGGGAGAGATAGGAAGGTCGTGTTCTAAATCCTTATTGACCCGAGTTATGAAGTTCGTTTGCTCTATAAAACTGTAAATTTGACTTCAAAACATACTTTGAGAAACTAATTGTGTGTGATTCTAGTGCAACCGGTCTAGAGTTTCTAGCCAATGGCTCGCTTCTTCCCTGGTGGAGTGGAGTTATGTCTGCTGATTTAAGTGCTGCTGGTATCTCGCCTGTGTCCAAGCTTTTCTCCATACTACGCCGAGCACCCGTGCTGCCTGGTGGAGCCTGCTGCCAGGTGCAGCCTGCTGCCTGGTAGAGCCTGCTGCCTGGTGGAGCCTACTTCCCGAGGGGATGGGCATGGATAAAAGCAGCGGTGTTGTCCACAATAAAGTTTTAATTTTTTTACACATGTGATTACAGGAACTGCCGAGTCCTGTTAGCAAGCTGAGCGCTTTTCCATCCCATAGGTGATGGTAAGCCTTACCCACTACTTTTCCCTGGAACACGACCCACCAATCTTAACAATTAGGTACCCAATCACTGCTGGGTAAACAGAAGCGTACAGTTTGTTTAGGTATTGGCACCTAGACAATCCTTCCCCCCAGAATATGAACCTAGGACAAATCACTCGCCATGTGAGCGATTTGAGCAACCACCTGGGTTGGATGGTAGAGCTACGGTCTCTCTTCCTGCAGGTCCGCGTTCAATCCCCAACCGTCCAAGTGGTTGTGCACCATTCCTTCCAACCCGTCCCATTTCTATCCCTTCCAAGTGCTATATAGTCGTAATTGCTTGGCGCTTTTGACAACACAGTCAGAAGCGTTGGTCCACAGAGAGGCGTACACCATCGCAAGTGATCGTGAACATTTCCTAAGCGACGTACGGAATAGTATTGGTCTTTTCCAAGTATATATATTTCACACAATGCACTGGATATCTAGGTATAACCTACACGTGAATCCTCTCGCATAATGCGAGATAATAGGTCAAGTAAGGTTACTTAAGCACTTACCTCGTTTACTACCTGATCCACTACGATAAGATCAAACTCCTTCCTCTTCTCGTAGAGCTCCTTCACCACGGGAACCTTGTACAAGTCCTTGGCAAAGGCTAGCAGATACGTCTCCATGGACCGGAAGATGCTCAACGTACCCCCCCTGAAGTCGAACACATTCATATTGTCCTCCTTGACATATGGGAGACCGTGAGAGACCTCGTGGATGCTGGGGTTGTCCGACGACTTGGGATGGTTAGTCAGCATCACTACCTGTAGACGGAAGGAGGTTTTTTATTTTTGTTTATTATTTTCTACCACAGACGTGGCCACAGATTTACAATGTTAACCAGCGTATATACAGTTTCTTCTGTTCTCCATGATGACAGGGTGAGAGATTTGTTAAACATATAGTTCAGGGATTTATTGAACAATCCACCACAGGTGATTGTATAGTGTTTTTAAAATGCTAAGCTAACCTACATACGTAAATTACATAGATACAGATGTGGTAGGGGTAACGGGGGGGGGGGCGGACCTTGAGAAGCCTGAAGCAGCGACTGACCACACACCATCTGAGAAGGACTATACACGTCCCTGCAGCCCCTGATGGGCTTCCCACTCTCCTCCTCCTTTATTACCATAGGTCCTGTGTGTCATATTCGTCTACACAAACTTAAAGATTCAATAGAGTTCCCAGAAAAATTATGATTTATTGGTCGATATATTTAGATATATATACAGCCAAAGTCTTGCCTCGTGTCCACGGTCAGTCAGAGCCTCGGCCAGGGACATGAAGAGGTTCCTGTGGCTCTTGGTAGAGACGGGGAGGAGCATGAGGATCTTGTAGGCTCTCTCAGGGGGCGCCAACTCCCCCGCGGCGACCCCTGCCACAGCCGCCACCAACACACACAACGGCGCCAACTCCATCTGTGGACACAATTTGGTTATAATAAAAATATTAATATTTACCATTCACAATATATTAATTTGAAGTCTTAATTATTTTCTGTCCTACCAGCAAAGAATGTTTTTTGTAATGTTCTGTGAATAAACATATTGTATTAATATGCGGGTTAGTATTTTAAATGAGATTATTGGTTTCAAGAATACTTTATGGTAACACTAGACGAAAATTTGTTTTCTTTATTAAAGTAACAAAATGTTCAACAGTAAAATTCTGTCGAGATATTAAGGAAAATGCACATAGAAAACAGTACGCCAAACTCAAGTCATAACGACTAAAGCTGTCAATTTATGGGTCCCCAGTCTACACAGTAAAATAACTTACTGGAGTGAACGATATGGAAGAAATGCAGAATTAAGAACCAGTGAAGAGCAGAAGTGCCATAGGCACATTCAGAGAACACTGTATAAACATCAGAGGTCTGCGGTTGTTCAACATCCTCCCAGCGAGTATAAAAAATATTGCCGGAATAACCGTGGACATTTTCAAGAGAAAACTAGATAATTTTCTTCAATTAGTGCCGAACCATCCGAGCTGTGGTGGATATATGGACTTGGTCTGAGAAAGTTGTTTCATTCATAAACGGGGGGGGGGCAGGTGGCGTTTAACGATTTGGCCATCGTTGACGATGACGGGCTGCCCTTACATAAATATTCAAGCAACCCTTCTATATTCTGAGTCAACATATACCAAAACTTATTTTCCTTTCAGTGTTATAAACCTATTGCATTTTCTATATAATCACCCTTAAACTTCCTAATAAACCGTCCTTTTTATTAAAAAATCACCAATTAAAAATTGACTATCAGGCAATTGAGTAAAAAAAATGTTGTAGCAGTCAAATCGATGATATAAAACTGATAACTATTGAATATATTAAGTAACAACAGTGTTATGCGCTCTGAAATGGCAACTTAAAGAGTTATTACAAATCTAAACAATATTCCGAGTATAACTCTGGCGAAGGCTAAATACAGACGACGCCGCCATGAAATATACTAGCTACCGTGGGCAGTTAAGACTTTCTACCTAATATTCATCCTCTCTGCTCCATGAGGAAGTCTCGGCAGTTAGGGATATATGCACGGAGAGGTGTAACAGATTGTTTTCTATATGCACACATTTTAATTTAGTTCTGGACGATGTTCTGGATTAAAATAAAGTTGTTTATTGGCCAGTATGCTGTTGTATAGGTTTAATTCGCCCTCCAGAAGTTGTCCAGCCTTAACACTTACCTAATGAAGATTCAGTGTAAAAACACCGAGAAGATGAGGTGTAGACAAACTCCCAGGCCACACTACACATGGAAGATGACGTACAACCCAGCTCGCGACCCTTGCTACACTGAGGGACCGGGTGGTTGCCCACCCCGTGTGTACAGGTGCCACACAGTGTGTTTGTTTCCTGTGTCTTAACTTCTCCAATGACAATGTTATCAATATATTAATTCCATTAGGAATAATATGTGTAAATATTTCTGACAATTGAGCTATTGACTTATACAACAATAAATATATGTATATGAACTTGAGATGTTGTAGAGCCCTTATCAGCGTGACTGACATTTTGCTATTTTTTGTTTATAAAGGCGGGACACTCATCCTGTGAATGGTAGTTTATTGTGCACCCCATACTCATCTTGTGAGCGGCAGTTTATTGTGCACCCAATACTCATCTAGTGAGCGGCTGTTCATTGTGCATCCCATACTCATAATGTGACCAGTAGTTTATTGTGCACCAAAGTAGCGTAAATTGGGTCTACGATTGGGCACGAGCTCCCGGGCATATGTGTGCCACCTGTCCTTGCATCCATCACATGTGTCGGAAATCCGACATACACACACATATTAACATAAGTTACCACCATAAAGAAAAAGAGAGTGGGTTATTCTGTGACATCATATAACAAGACGTGTATTTATATATCTCATCTCCTTTTAAACAACAGTCTAGTGTTTAAACTCAATACAAAAGTGTTCACTAGGACTGAATATAATTTCCAAGACCAAGAATATATAGCTTAACTCCCTATTCCTTAATCATACATAGAACCACCAAATATTTTAGGACGGCTCCCCTAGGGGCGTCGTCACGTATGCCTAGGGGCGTCGTCACGTATGCCTTGACAATCATAACAAAACAACATTCTGTAGAGGTGCAGAGGTGTAGAGGTGTAGAGGTGCAGAGGTGTAGAGGTGCAGAGGTGTAGAGGTGGCTCCTTCCATACGAGCTGGTATAATTCGATAGACACCCAGATTACGTGTCAACAAGCGAGCAACAACCACAACAGCACCTCTACAACCACAGGAACACCAGTATCCGTCTTATCAAGTATTTTGTGTATATTTGGTCATTTATAACATAAATAGGTTAGGCGGTTATACTGTGGGTATAATGTGGGATTAAAATCCCTAACACGTACGTACTCTACATTATACATCCCTCTTATTAGAAGTCATACCTGTACCTTAATATGTCAATGTGCTATTACTAATGTTAAACATCCCAAACAGGTAATTGTCAGGGAAGTTACTGAAGCAAACAGTTGGCCCCCAATGTAACAGTGATTTACCCTGTTGTACACCAACCTTGCAGGCCTCCAGATAGTCGCCGTTACGTGGCACTCTGAGGCACAGGGCCACACCCTAATCTGATGCTACAATTACCTTGTAGTTGCTACAATGCTACAATTAGTTGTGGCCTTAGCAGGCCACAACTACAGTATCAGATAAGGCCCTTTTGTGTTTTAATACTGTAGATAGAGTGGTATATATAATTAACTTTAAGTATAACAGCAGATTAGACCACCATATGTGGTATGATTATAATTTATATATTAAAGACTAGGTAAACAATTTGTGGTTTATGAAGGATCCATTTCAGAGTGGTTTAAGCTACAAATTGTCCCCCCCCCCAACTGGGTGTGATAAGTTCTAGCAGCAGAATCAGAATACAGTCCAGTAACTAAGAACTAAGAACAATAATTCAATATTGAAGTTTAACTAAGAAATAATCAAAATAATAAATATAATATATCAAGTAAAAAAATGAAAATTAAAGTAAATATTTAATATTAACACAAAATAAAAACTGCTAGGATTTTCCCACATAAGTTATGTCAATTCCCTAAACCCTTGGACTGACTACATTTCTCCTGAACCACAACAATAGTTGGGAAAGTAAACATTATATATTTTATTCATTTATTAAACAGGTCATTTTTTCACACACCATTAGCTAGTCAAAACATATAACAGTACCATTTCGTTCTCAGTTTTACACCATAGGAGGTCTTTTTAGTGTAAAAAAAATACTTCAACCATCCAATATCTATATTGGGAAAAGGCAAAACATAACATGGATATTGTATTTAGTTTTTAAAAAGGACTGAATAAGAGGGAATCATGTTCCATAAATGTGATATAAAATATCGTGCCTAAACTCGACAAGGAAGAGTTATCCAGTATGGCACATTGTCAGACAGGCACCCGGCAAGCAGAGAAGTATATTGAATGTTATTACAGTAGTGTATTAATTGGCCAATTGTATGCTTGTACGACTTTAATATCCTATAAGTCTGTCTGTCGGTTATAAAGCGAGGCATCGCCTCATATTTCAGTAAGTTTATCAATATTGTAGTGCAGCAGTTGAATCTTTAAGCACTTAACCTCATGAGTGTCCATTGTGTAAGAAAAGATTCAATCAAGGTAAACAAAATCTCATGAGTGTCCATGGTGTGGGAAAAAATTCAGTCAGGCTGACTGTACCTCATCATATAAATACATCTGCATATATACTTTAATATATAAATTAAGTTAACAATTGCTTGCTTAGTTATTTTTAAGTTATCATATAAGTTCATTTAATTGAATATAATCTTTAGTACTTAGGTAACAGTACTTAGACTACATTTAAGGTCATTTATCATACTTATATATAAATTGTTGTTTATAGTATAAGAATATATTGGCTGTTAATAGTTATGGTGCTAGGCTAGACTATGTACATGTTTAAATCTCTGATTTAAACGGAGCCAGTGTTCAGTCATTGAACTGAATTTATTAAATCTTATCTTTGTATAAAATACTAGCTGATGTGAGATACCTATCAGCAGGTGGACTGTAGATCTTCAATCAACCTATCAACTAATTCATTCACCCCACCTACCCCTTACAGCCCACAATCTGTCATTAGGAAAAGAGGAGCTAGGATTTACGACCCTAGCTAGAGATTTTAGTTGAATTAATTTGCAGACAGAGAAAAAAACAGGCAGACCGTAGAGGGATGAATAGGATAGAGGGATGCATGGTTAACAGAGGGATGGATGGGATACAGGGGGGTGATGGATGGATGGGATACAGGGGGGTGATGGATGGATGGGATACAGGGGGGTGATGGATGGATGGGATACAGGGGGGTGATGGATGGATGGGATACAGGGGGGTGATGGATGGATGGGATACAGGGGGGTGATGGATGGATGGGATACAGGGGGGTGATGGATGGATGGGATACAGGGGGGTGATGGATGGATGGGATACAGGGGGGTGATGGATGGATGGGATACAGGGGGGTGATGGATGGATGGGATACAGGGGGGTGATGGATGGATGGGATACAGGGGGGTGATGGATGGATGGGATACAGGGGGGTGATGGATGGATGGGATACAGGGGGTGATGGATGGATGGGATACAGGGGGGTGATGGATGGATGGGATACAGGGGGGTGATGGATGGATGGGATACAGGGGGGTGATGGATGGATGGGATACAGGGGGGTGATGGATGGATGGGATACAGGGGGGTGATGGATGGATGGGATACAGGGGGGTGATGGATGGATGGATACAGGGGGGTGATGGATGGATGGGATACAGGGGGGTGATGGATGGATGGGATACAGGGGGGTGATGGATGGATGGGATACAGGGGGGTGATGGATGGATGGGATACAGGGGGGTGATGGATGGATGGGATACAGGGGGGTGATGGATGGATGGATGGGATACAGGGGGGTGATGGATGGATGGATGGGATACAGGGGGGTGATGGATGGATGGGATACAGGGGGGGATGGATGGATGGATGGGATACAGGGGGGTGATGGATGGATGGGATACAGGGGGGTGATGGATGGATGGGATACAGGGGGGTGATGGATGGATGGGATACAGGGGGGTGATGGATGGATGGGATACAGGGGGGTGATGGATGGATGGGATACAGGGGGGTGATGGATGGATGGGATACAGGGGGGTGATGGATGGATGGGATACAGGGGGGTGATGGATGGATGGGATACAGGGGGGTGATGGATGGATGGGATACAGGGGGGTGATGGATGGATGGGATACAGGGGTGATGGATGGATGGGATAAAGGGGGTGATGGATGGATGGGATAAAGGGGATGATGGATGGATGGGATAAAAGGAATCGTGCATTGATGAATGGGATAGAGGGATTGATGGATGGATGGGATAGAAGAATGGCTGATATAGGGATTGATGGATGGCTGATATAGGGATTGATTGATGGATATAGGGATTGATTGATGGATAGAGGGATTCGATATATGGATGAATGGATAAATGTAAAAATAGATTAATAGATAGACAGATGGAGACAGACCTGGGCAATGTTGGGTATCCTTCCAATTTTATATATACATAGTCAGGATACTTTTCAGCCTCAAAATACTTTAATGATGGGAGAGATGAGTAGAATTAAGATATACCCAAGAAGTTAACCAAGTCTTAACCGTCATTGGTGTACTAACATACAATGCCTCAAGACAATTATTCGGACTAACACAGTTTATAATACTCACCGAGAATATCCTGCTGAGGAAGCCAGTTAAGAATCTTTACGTTTGCCGAGACCTGGAGTTCTGCGTCGTCAAATTTCCAGATGACGCGCTGTGGCAGCCTGCGGAAGGCCTGGATGAAGAGGTCGCGGTACTTGATTGGCAAAGAGGCACTACGCGCGATGGAGCCCAAGCTGAAGTAAATAACGCCAGATGATCCCGCCTCTGTGATCCACGACTCTAATTCCTGTAAGATACAGTGTACTCATCACAACTTGTCCGATGTTTGGACAGGTTGTGTTATACAGTATTAAATATTTTCCCTTAACTAAAGGTGTATCTTTGAACAAAAAATAAGTATAATATTTGTGCATGTGGCATGTTATGGGTGGGGGGGGGGGAGCTCTCCTGGACAATGCCGCCCAATACCTTTAGTTACGGGGGTTGAGAGACCGGCTTCTCCACGCTCCTCTAGTTCCTGAATTCAAGTCAACATTTAACCTCGAAGTGATGAGATTGAGAAGTGATGAGATAGGGAGGTGATTGAGGACGACGTCCTTAAATTTTTACAGTATACACACGCAGGAGACGGTAGGTTAGGCATCGCCGCAATTGTGGCAGCGAGCCTGGGGAGGAGATCACTCTTAGAGTGGCCTGAGTTCACACGCATAGGGCATAGACACTGTACTCATGCATTTGAGGGCAACATACCCAAATTTCCAGCACTTATTGCCAAGTCTAATAGAGGGAATATACTCGAGAACAGAGCATCTGGCACCAGCAAAAATTATAGAAGTTTGAAGGGTCCTGCTATCAAAAGTTATTTTCACAACGCTGAGAGGCTGATGACGACGACTACGAGAGGGTCGAGTGAACGTATCAACCTGGAGGACAGAATGGCCCTGGGCTTCAAGGATATGTTTAATATCCTCATGGTAGTCTTCCAGATCTCTAACATCAGTCGCAACATGATGCGGGAGGATAACGGTGCCAATACTGGCACTTAACCGGGCATTTTTGGAGACCCTACCAGGAGTTTCCCGAATGCTGGACAACGCAGCTATGCAAATCTTCAAGAGGAAACTAGATTGCTTCCTTCAAGGAGTGCCGAACCAACCGGGCTGTGGTGGGTATGTGGGCCTGCGGGCCGCTCCAAGCAACAGCCTGGTGGACCAAACTCTCACAAGTCAAGTCTGGCCTCGGGCCGGGCTTGGGGAGTAGAAGAACTCCCAGAACCCCATCAACCAGGCAGCTGTATCACGAGAAGGAGCAGCAACGATACGTGTACCAAAATGGATGGGGTTAAAGGTAATGGAGGCATCCACCGAATCAATGAGGTGTTTTTATGGAGGAAGAAATCGTCAGTACGTGTAGAGTCCAGATGGTCGAGATCAAAGTAGTTAGTCCATGTAGCGGGACCATACAAGGTGTTGAATGTATTAGTACTGGAAAGGATCGAGCAAGGGCGTCCGTGGGAGGGGCGGCACCGAGTCACAATTAAAAACGTTGCCACTCCAGATGACGAGGTGGTCACCACTGGGGGCTTGGGGGGGGGGGGGGTCAACCCTACCACAGGAGGAGGGGAGCAGAGAGGGGGGGGGTAGTTGGGATGGTCAAAGGAGTAGCTTGGTCTGGGACCAATGAAGCGGGGGGGGGGGGGGTTGCGACTCAGTCCGACTCGGGGCTTGGTCGCCCACCCCAGGAGCCTGGGAAGCTACAAGAGGATAAATCGGTGGCATAGAAACGAGGAGGTAAGAATTTCACGAATGTGCCCCCATACCCACCATGGAGCCACAATTAGAGGACAGGATACAACAAGATACCAGCTGAGGTCCCCCCCCCCCCCCCCAGGAGTGCATCGTGAGTATACGCCCCCCAGTCAGTCCCTCGAGATCGGGTTCAGCAACGAAAGGAGGACTGACAATAAAATCGTCCCTTCACTCTCGATGTCGGGTACCACAGTTCTACAGATGAAAGAGTGTGCGCCTCCCTAAACACCTGGGCGTAAAAACAGAAAATGTCTGAAAGAATAATCAAGACTGGCAAAAGGTCGGCGGGAAAGACAATGAGAAAGGAGAAGAGAGGGGAGAAAACCGAAACGCAAGGAAGAGTGAATAGTGACCAGCACAATTAGTAAAGACGGCAACAGGAGCATAATGTCCTGCCCTCTACCTGTGAGGGCAGGACAACTCACCTGGGGCAGAGGGCTGGCGGGTCGACAGTGCATGCCGCCCACCTCCACCTGTGAGGGCAGAACAACTCACCTGGGGCAGAGGGCTGGCGGGTCGACAGTGCATGCCGCCCACCTCCACCTGTGAAGGCAGGAGGGGCAGTGGTATACCAATACTAAAGTGGGTGTTCATCAGCGCCAGACTCATGTTCCTCTCCAGGTCCAACAGCGGCGGCAGCTCCGGGAACTGCGCAGAGATCTGAGGAATAACACCAGACCTTCAATGCATGCAGGTCAGACACAGTACACTGCCCAACACGTTAATGTACAAACCTTATCCAGTAGTAGCAAGGAGTGACATTTAATTTTGATATGAAATTCATTGACCTTAAAACACTCGTCACACATTTCTGCTATGTGATCATAGAATATCAATTTATTTGCTGACTTGCAGTTTCATATATACTTTCTCTATATATTGTTATGATCCCAGGCTGCCTGAGAAACGAATCTACCTTGAGAGTTATTCTGCCAGACCTGACCTAAATAAAGGGTCAAAGACACAGACATGTCAATGTATATAGTAAGCATTCGATTAGATTTGTCAAACAGTTAAAAGCATGGGCAGTGAATGAATGTGTACATAAACGACTTGACATATGTCAAAAGTTTGTGAGGAAGGCATGAGGCTCATGTCAGGGGTCTTTACTTGAGCAACAACCGTCGTGGAAGCATGATGCAGTGTTTTTAAGCTCTTGGTAGCAGAGGAAGATTCTCTGATTACGTGCTCCATCAAGAGAATTATTCAGGTATTCTTGTATGAAGCCTGGGGAACGACATCGTGCTCTTGTCTGGAAGAGGAGAAGCCCTGTAGAGAAGTTTAAATAGCAATTTGGTGGCATAAGGAGCACGTCTTCAACGTCTGACACTGAGGCCAGCAAGCGTCCTGGTACATCTAACTCTGTGGTAAACCTTTTTCAATCAGTTTACAGTGATTGTATTTGATCGTGTGCCCAGCGATCATAGTAAGTGTTTGTGAGTACGTTAGGCATGTTTTGATGAGGCAGAAGGCCAAAATAAGAGTAAAGATGGAGGAACGTCCTGGAGGGCGGAGCGACATCCATCCACTCCAACCACTGGTGGGCGACTGAGTGCGAGGGCCGCCTGGGAAGCGAAGGGCTCCCAGGGAGGCCAGAAAATGGACCAGCCCAAACGTGGGGGAGTCACCTCACAGCATATAGAAAGCAGGGAGATGTCAAGTGAAACATTATTGTGTACTTTATGTTAGCTATATGTTTGTAGAGGAACATTTTTTATTGGCATGTAGATGGGTTGCAGGTTTGTCCTGAGGAAGAAGTTGATGGGAGTACTTTGAGGCCAGAGGAGAAGTTAACGAGTGGAACTTCAAGGCCGTAGGAGTGGATATTGAACCCTGTGGAAGAGCAGAACCCCATAGTGAGGTGGATCTCAAAGTGTGGGAAGAGGAGCAGTGAAGGGAAGATTCACGTGCTTCTGTGAAACCAGTGGTGAAGCACAATTGCTAAGAAAGACTTCATGGTGTAGCAGTCGTTAGAGCTGAGGAAGACCCTGGTAGACAATTCTAAGAAGACCTGAAGGTGTTCAGGGTGGAGAGCCTCTGCTTGTAGAGAAGAGGTTCTTAGTAATTACTTATGGAGTGTCGGTAGAGCGTTTGAGTGTCATTGGCGTGCAAGACTAAGGAAGGTGCGTCTTCCCCACCTGAAGAGAGAGAGATCTAGGGCTGATAGTGCCGTTGTATATGACAGTGCCATATTTACCTTCAAAGATTTAACCCACCTAATGAGGTTGATAGCGTAAGTGGCGAGTCAGGAATTGGACCACCACTCGAGATAAACAGCTGATAGAGTCCCGATGGGATTGATTGCAATAGCATAGAAGTGTTGGAGTTATTTTTGTATCTTGTGAATGTGTATATGTTCTCTGTATATTAAATGTTTATAACTACAAGATGTTTGCCCTTGTCCCACTGAGGATTTCCAGAAAGAAACAGAGTGAGTGTGTATATACAGAGTAATATTTTTGAAAAGGGGATTGAGGTGGTCATACCAAATAAGGTGAGAGTGGGGAGTCAAGGCGGCTCGAGTGGGGTGTATGCACGTGACAACGAAGTCAGTACTGGAGCCGCAGCCTCTAAACGTGACGTTGAACCCCTCTCCATGTGCCAGAATCGCCTAGGGTGATCTGGTCAAAATAAGCACTCTCCGGGTTTTGGGTTGGGTTGTCCGTAAGGAAGGACGACCAACATCAACAACATCATAATAATATAAGACATTATTTAACAAAAAAAATAATTTCCCAATCTGTGATACTCAACTCTTCTTCCTCATGCCTAGTCTGCAGTTTATCACTTGCTTGAACACAGTTAGTTGCCATTTAAATCCCCACACCTCACCTCTTTCTGGACGAGTGGAATGACAACCAAGATCCGCCAGTAAACAGCAAATCCTATGTTAAGCATCAGGTCGCGGAAGCGATGCCAGAAGCTCCTGGACTTGGAGAAATATGCAAAGTTGGGGACGTAGGCCGGGTTGAGGACGTTGCCCAGGACGGCGCTCTGGCGTGGGTCCATCCCTGGAGGGGAGAGGAAGATGAAGGGAACCTCGTGCACGAAGGGATACACCACCTGCGGGAGAGAGAGCCAAGAAACTTAAAGAGGCAGCTATGATACTATGACCCTGAATAAAACAAATACTAAAACAAGTAGAGTATAATCAATCAAGAGAGAGAAGAGCGAGCTTTTAAAACAATAGTTACCACCCAGATCACATGCTGAATCTTCGGTGTGTTCTCAGACTGTGACAACGGTCTCTCGACTGTACACTGTATTATGCATTTCTTATAATCTTTTGCTCCATTAGGTTGTTATTATGCTGTGCATATTAGGAACATGGGCATATTGGTTAAGTAATTGGGAGAGATAGGAAGGTCGTGTTCTAAATCCTTATTGACCCGAGTTATGAAGTTCGTTTGCTCTATAAAACTGTAAATTTGACTTCAAAACATACTTTGAGAAACTAATTGTGTGTGATTCTAGTGCAACCGGTCTAGAGTTTCTAGCCAATGGCTCGCTTCTTCCCTGGTGGAGTGGAGTTATGTCTGCTGATTTAAGTGCTGCTGGTATCTCGCCTGTGTCCAAGCTTTTCTCCATACTACGCCGAGCACCCGTGCTGCCTGGTGGAGCCTGCTGCCAGGTGCAGCCTGCTGCCTGGTGGAGCCTGCTGCCTGGTAGAGCCTGCTGCCTGGTGGAGCCTACTTCCCGAGGGGATGGGCATGGATAAAAGCAGCGGTGTTGTCCACAATAAAGTTTTAATTTTTTTTTACACATGTGATTACAGGAACTGCCGAGTCCTGTTAGCAAGCTGAGCGCTTTTCCATCCCATAGGTGATGGTAAGCCTTACCCACTACTTTTCCCTGGAACACGACCCACCAATCTTAACAATTAGGTACCCAATCACTGCTGGGTAAACAGAAGCGTACAGTTTGTTTAGGTATTGGCACCTAGACAATCCTTCCCCCCAGAATATGAACCTAGGACAAATCACTCGCCATGTGAGCGATTTGAGCAACCACCTGGGTTGGATGGTAGAGCTACGGTCTCTCTTCCTGCAGGTCCGCGTTCAATCCCCAACCGTCCAAGTGGTTGTGCACCATTCCTTCCAACCCGTCCCATTTCTATCCCTTCCAAGTGCTATATAGTCGTAATTGCTTGGCGCTTTTGACAACACAGTCAGAAGCGTTGGTCCACAGAGAGGCGTACACCATCGCAAGTGATCGTGAACATTTCCTAAGCGACGTACGGAATAGTATTGGTCTTTTCCAAGTATATATATTTCACACAATGCACTGGATATCTAGGTATAACCTACACGTGAATCCTCTCGCATAATGCGAGATAATAGGTCAAGTAAGGTTACTTAAGCACTTACCTCGTTTACTACCTGATCCACTACGATAAGATCAAACTCCTTCCTCTTCTCGTAGAGCTCCTTCACCACGGGAACCTTGTACAAGTCCTTGGCAAAGGCTAGCAGATACGTCTCCATGGACCGGAAGATGCTCAACGTACCCCCCTGAAGTCGAACACATTCATATTGTCCTCCTTGACATATGGGAGACCGTGAGAGACCTCGTGGATGCTGGGGTTGTCCGACGACTTGGGATGGTTAGTCAGCATCACTACCTGTAGACGGAAGGAGGTTTTTTATTTTTGTTTATTATTTTCTACCACAGACGTGGCCACAGATTTACAATGTTAACCAGCGTATATACAGTTTCTTCTGTTCTCCATGATGACAGGGTGAGAGATTTGTTAAACATATAGTTCAGGGATTTATTGAACAATCCACCACAGGTGATTGTATAGTGTTTTTAAAATGCTAAGCTAACCTACATACGTAAATTACATAGATACAGATGTGGTAGGGGTAACGGGGGGGGGGGCGGACCTTGAGAAGCCTGAAGCAGCGACTGACCACACACCATCTGAGAAGGACTATACACGTCCCTGCAGCCCCTGATGGGCTTCCCACTCTCCTCCTCCTTTATTACCATAGGTCCTGTGTGTCATATTCGTCTACACAAACTTAAAGATTCAATAGAGTTCCCAGAAAAATTATGATTTATTGGTCGATATATTTAGATATATATACAGCCAAAGTCTTGCCTCGTGTCCACGGTCAGTCAGAGCCTCGGCCAGGGACATGAAGAGGTTCCTGTGGCTCTTGGTAGAGACGGGGAGGAGCATGAGGATCTTGTAGGCTCTCTCAGGGGGCGCCAACTCCCCCGCGGCGACCCCTGCCACAGCCGCCACCAACACACACAACGGCGCCAACTCCATCTGTGGACACAATTTGGTTATAATAAAAATATTAATATTTACCATTCACAATATATTAATTTGAAGTCTTAATTATTTTCTGTCCTACCAGCAAAGAATGTTTTTTGTAATGTTCTGTGAATAAACATATTGTATTAATATGCGGGTTAGTATTTTAAATGAGATTATTGGTTTCAAGAATACTTTATGGTAACACTAGACGAAAATTTGTTTTCTTTATTAAAGTAACAAAATGTTCAACAGTAAAATTCTGTCGAGATATTAAGGAAAATGCACATAGAAAACAGTACGCCAAACTCAAGTCATAACGACTAAAGCTGTCAATTTATGGGTCCCCAGTCTACACAGTAAAATAACTTACTGGAGTGAACGATATGGAAGAAATGCAGAATTAAGAACCAGTGAAGAGCAGAAGTGCCATAGGCACATTCAGAGAACACTGTATAAACATCAGAGGTCTGCGGTTGTTCAACATCCTCCCAGCGAGTATAAAAAATATTGCCGGAATAACCGTGGACATTTTCAAGAGAAAACTAGATAATTTTCTTCAATTAGTGCCGAACCATCCGAGCTGTGGTGGATATATGGACTTGGTCTGAGAAAGTTGTTTCATTCATAAACAGGGGGGGGGGGGCAGGTGGCGTTTAACGAGAGCCATCGTTGACGATGACGGGCTGCCCTTACATAAATATTCAAGCAACCCTTCTATATTCTGAGTCAACATATACCAAAACTTATTTTCCTTTCAGTGTTATAAACCTATTGCATTTGCTATATAATCACCCTTAAACTTCCTAATAAACCGTCCTTTTTATTAAAAAATCACCAATTAAAAATTGACTATCAGGCAATTGAGTAAAAAAAATGTTGTAGCAGTCAAATCGATGATATAAAACTGATAACTATTGAATATATTAAGTAACAACAGTGTTATGCGCTCTGAAATGGCAACTTAAAGAGTTATTACAAATCTAAACAATATTCCGAGTATAACTCTGGCGAAGGCTAAATACAGACGACGCCGCCATGAAATATACTAGCTACCGTGGGCAGTTAAGACTTTCTACCTAATATTCATCCTCTCTGCTCCATGAGGAAGTCTCGGCAGTTAGGGATATATGCACGGAGAGGTGTAACAGATTGTTTTCTATATGCACACATTTTAATTTAGTTCTGGACGATGTTCTGGATTAAAATAAAGTTGTTTATTGGCCAGTATGCTGTTGTATAGGTTTAATTCGCCCTCCAGAAGTTGTCCAGCCTTAACACTTACCTAATGAAGATTCAGTGTAAAAACACCGAGAAGATGAGGTGTAGACAAACTCCCAGGCCACACTACACATGGAAGATGACGTACAACCCAGCTCGCGACCCTTGCTACACTGAGGGACCGGGTGGTTGCCCACCCCGTGTGTACAGGTGCCACACAGTGTGTTTGTTTCCTGTGTCTTAACTTCTCCAATGACAATGTTATCAATATATTAATTCCATTAGGAATAATATGTGTAAATATTTCTGACAATTGAGCTATTGACTTATACAACAATAAATATATGTGTATGAACTTGAGATGTTGTAGAGCCCTTATCAGCGTGACTGACATTTTGCTATTTTTTGTTTATAAAGGCGGGACACTCATCCTGTGAATGGTAGTTTATTGTGCACCCCATACTCATCTTGTGAGCGGCAGTTTATTGTGCACCCAATACTCATCTAGTGAGCGGCTGTTCATTGTGCATCCCATACTCATAATGTGACCAGTAGTTTATTGTGCACCAAACTAGCGTAAATTGGGTCTACGATTGGGCACGAGCTCCCGGGCATATGTGTGCCACCTGTCCTTGCATCCATCACATGTGTCGGAAATCCGACATACACACACATATTAACATAAGTTACCACCATAAAGAAAAAGAGAGTGGGTTATTCTGTGACATCATATAACAAGACGTGTATTTATATATCTCATCTCCTTTTAAACAACAGTCTAGTGTTTAAACTCAATACAAAAGTGTTCACTAGGACTGAATATAATTTCCAAGACCAAGAATATATAGCTTAACTCCCTATTCCTTAATCATACATAGAACCACCAAATATTTTAGGACGGCTCCCCTAGGGGCGTCGTCACGTATGCCTTGACAATCATAACAAAACAACATTCTGTAGAGGTGCAGAGGTGTAGAGGTGTAGAGGTGCAGAGGTGCAGAGGTGCAGAGGTGTAGAGGTGGCTCCTTCCATACGAGCTGGTATAATTCGATAGACACCCAGATTACGTGTCAACAAGCGAGCAACAACCACAACAGCACCTCTACAACCACAGGAACACCAGTATCCGTCTTATCAAGTATTTTGTGTATATTTGGTCATTTATAACATAAATAGGTTAGGCGGTTATACTGTGGGTATAATGTGGGATTAAAATCCCTAACACGTACGTACTCTACATTATACATCCCTCTTATTAGAAGTCATACCTGTACCTTAATATGTCAATGTGCTATTACTAATGTTAAACATCCCAAACAGGTAATTGTCAGGGAAGTTACTGAAGCAAACAGTTGGCCCCCAATGTAACAGTGATTTACCCTGTTGTACACCAACCTTGCAGGCCTCCAGATAGTCGCCGTTACGTGGCACTCTGAGGCACAGGGCCACACCCTAATCTGATGCTACAATTACCTTGTAGTTGCTACAATGCTACAATTAGTTGTGGCCTTAGCAGGCCACAACTACAGTATCAGATAAGGCCCTTTTGTGTTTAATACTGTAGATAGAGTGGTATATATAATTAACTTTAAGTATAACAGCAGATTAGACCACCATATGTGGTATGATTTATAATTTATATATTAAAGACTAGGTAAACAATTTGTGGTTTATGAAGGATCCATTTCAGAGTGGTTTAAGCTACAAATTGTCCCCCCCCCCCAACTGGGTGTGATAAGTTCTAGCAGCAGAATCAGAATACAGTCCAGTAACTAAGAACTAAGAACAATAATTCAATATTGAAGTTTAACTAAGAAATAATCAAATAATAATAATATAATATTCAAGTAACAAAATGAAAATTAAAGTAAATATTTAATATTAAACAAAATAAAAACTGCTAGGATTTTCCCACATAAGTTATGTCAATTCCCTAACCCCTTGGACTGACTACATTTCTCCTGAACCACAACAATAGTTTGGGAAAGTAAACATTATATAATTTTATTCATTTATTAAACAGGTCATTTTTCACACACCATTAGCTAGTCAAAACATATAACAGTACCATTTCGTTCTCAGTTTTACACCATAGGAGGTCTTTTTAGTGTAAAAAAAATACTTCAACCATCCAATATCTATATTGGGAAAAGGCAAAACATAACATGGATATTGTATTTAGTTTTTAAAAAGGACTGAATAAGAGGGAATCATGTTCCATAAAAATACTTTACATCATCCAATATCTATGAGCAGTAAGAGGGATACGAGAGAGAGAGAGAGAGAAACAAAATATATAAATAGAGAGAGAAAGGCACGGACATATATATAGACTCTGGTAACGGTACCCATTCAAGCTTTTTATCAAATATTCTGCTTGAAGTACTGAGCGCCAAATTGTTATTATCTTTAGCGAAAAATGATTTTTACAAATATATTGTGTGTCCTTTATATTCGTGACTTCTCCATCAAAAAGTTAGAAATATTTGAGTTATGCCACGAAAACGATCCAAACATTTAGTATATAATATTCAACTTTACTGATTATCCTCGATCCTACAGTAATGAAAGATTCCAATAGATTAAAACATTCCTATTCCTTCTTCATTTTGTTAATGCCACTACCAAGTGCTTTAGCAGCGATGACCCGGAAGATGCGACGTAGGATGAAGACGAGAAGGAAGAGAGCCAGGTGGAGGAGGAGGAGGACGTCGAGCATGAGGAACTCCACCCAGGAGAGCTGTGCCGCCGGGGACCTCAGCTGGGGCGCCCCACGGTGGCGGATGACGTACTCCGTCCAGAACACCGCCCGGTCCCTGGGCGACGTCGGCTGGTCCCTCATCCCCGTTGACATCCTCATAACGTTTTCTTTATACCTGACCACGAAAGAAGTGAAAAAGAACTAATAAATAATATCAGTGTGACTATTTACATGCACATGTGTACAACGAAGAACAAAAAAAATCCAAAAAGCTCTAGTATCCAGCTTTTAGTCTGGAGGGATATGCGGAACATACAGGTTTGATTGGGAAAACAATGGAATAGCCAACACCATTGGCAGACTTAGACCCATCTTTGGCCACAGCAATGAGTGTGACAAAGGAAAAATGTTCAAGGAAAAGGCATTTTAAATCATTATGAGGAGTATAAGACCTCACCAATAAGTCAGGATCTAGCAAAATTTCTTGAGCATTAGAGTCAGAGGGACCCACAGTGGCTAAAGAATAACGAAGAAGTGCAGTCGACACGAAAACAATTGGTAGTGGGGTTGAAACGCCGGCTGGTGGCGCTCAGGATCACCAATAGGCTTAGATTGTAAGGGAAGGGGGGGGGGTGGAGGAAGAGGGGACTCTTGCTGATGTCAGAGTTGAAGGCTTCGAAACGGTTGTGAACCCGAGGAGGGTGAGGTAGGGCAGCACACAAGAGCTCCCTCACTATGTCCAGGAATCACTCATTGAGGTTCCTTGACATAGTGAGCTGACAAGAAAAAAACACTTTAAACCACGGAAGTAATAACAGAATATTGAAGTACTTTATGCATTTGGACTAAAAAGTTAATATATATACCAAGATCCCTTAGTGTTCCCTTTTTTTGTTTCCAGCAAATAAAACAGATCACCAAACAATGACTAACTTCGGGTTGTTAATAATATCGGTGAGGGAGTCGACGACCAAGTCCACAGTGAGCTCCTCCCACAGAAGAAAGTGTCCCAGTTCATTCTTCTTCACAACCATAGCGTTCCTGGGCTGGTCGGAGAAGATGGGGAGGGCGAGGAGAGGCGTGGCGTGGTAGATGGCCTCCTGCAGGCTGAGGAGGCCACAGTGGGTGATGAACACCTTCACGTTGTCGTGACCTGCGGTACACAGGGTGGGTTACAGTACACAGAGTGGGTTATGGTACACAGAGTGGGTTATGGTACACAAGGTGTGGGATGGTCCACATGGTAGGATACAGCTGGGCCCCTGGCCTCTTCTAGCACATTTACATTGAAATATATAAAAAGAATAACCAAAAATATTTTGTACTAGCTGTACCCGGCCATACGTTGCTGTGGCTCAGCATGAGCAACAGCAACCCTCCCCCTGTCTCCCAGTCCTACCCATTATTCCCTCCCACGTCCCCTCGTCCTCCCCACCATTGACCCTTCTCCTGTCCCATGAATTTATGTTAATTGGCAGTCAGTGAACTGTACATCATCATGATTCACGGAGTCGCCTACATTAGGCTCACTTTCAACACACAGCTTATGTAGCAGAATACGACTTCGACAGGATTGTAAGTGCTTGTCAACACGCAATCTCAGTCTCAATCTAAATCTATCTCTATCTATCTCTATCTTTCAGTCCCCGACCGTCCAAAAGGTTGGGCACCATTCCTTCCCCAAGTCCCATCCCAAATCCTTATTCTGACCCCTTCCAATTGATATATAGTCGTAATGGCTGGGCGCGTTCCGCTGATAGTTCCCTTCCCTTCACTCTGGCAGTAATTCCTTAATAATATCCACAATGCCACTAAGGGTATCGCTGACTTGTGTTATTTTATCCTGTGGGCCTCCTGCGCTATTATACTCATCGCTTATTCTTGTGCTGCATTAACTTACACTAAGGTTAATATTTCTGCCTAAGTTTGCGTGGCAGTACAGAAAATATAAGTGGCTGACATTCAAGTAAAAGAGAAAACAAATACACTTTAGTTAAAGTAAAATTTGAAGTACTGTAATTCACATGGGATGACATAGTTAATACTCACCAAGAATATCCTGCTGGGGGAGCCACTTGCTGATCATCACGTTCTCAGGGAGGTCCTCCAGCTCCCCCTCGAATTTCCAGAGGACGCGCTGTGGCAGCCTGCGGAAGGCCTCGACTAACACCTTACGGTATTGCACTGGCAAATGGGTTCCGATTACCAAGGAGCCCAAGTTGAAGTAGATGACGCCGGCAGTTCCTGCTCCTAGTATCCAAGATTCCACCTCCTGTCAGGCAACAGTTTATGATCAGCCCATCTGTCGACGGCAGTGCTATGTTTTTCAGAGTAGTGCTTCTGATAAGGCTTTCACTTACTGAACCAAATAGCAATTATTGCCTTTTTAAAGTTCGATTTAACTTGCATTAGATCGTACAAGGAAATATAAACCTGACCTGAAACAATTCTATTTTTAAACCATTATTTACCCAGGTTTTAATATATCAACATTTATCTAATTTTATTCAATGATTCATGTTCTGTTTTGTGTTGTGTTATTTAGTGGTCTATTAATACACCCACTTGTTATAATTTTTCTTTCAGGTTTATATTTCAATTTATATCTGCAACAGTTCATGATATGAAGTCATGACTAGAGAGCATCCTACATGCCTTATTTTAAAACATTTATACATTGAATTTTTACTTAAACTCACGATTTCCTGATTTTTTTCGCATTCGGATCTTTCAGCATAATTCAAATTTTAGCCACTAACTGTATTATAATTTACAAGGCTCGGATCAAAACGTTTGTCAACATTACATGCATTTTCCCCATTTTTGGCCATTTTAGGTCTATTCAAATCATCCTGTAAAAATTTTGAATCTCTGCCGGAATTAATTTCTTACCCATTTACAGTGTCATCAGTAAATTGTCTTATCTTACTGCTCAGTCTTGTAACTAAGTCATTTAAGTAAACGGCAAGCAGCATTGGTCTAAGGACATAATCTGTATCACTTCACTTGCAATATTTTCCCATTCGGAAATGACCCCATTGTGCTGAACCATTATTTCTGTTAATTAAACCATGGTATTATCCAATTTAAGATATCTCCTTAAATTCACAGTAAGAAGTCTTTCATGCGGTACAATAACACAGGCATTGCTAAAGCTTAGATTTGATGTTATAATCTTTCCCATTGTTGAATGTTTTATACATGCTGAAAGAGTATGAAAGTAAATTTGCTAAACATGACCAGACCTTAGGAAAGTCAAGCTGTGTATCTATATAAATTTTGCTTTTCAAGTGCAACTGGAACAGGTCAAGGACGTGTTGTAGCTGACCTACAGCATGTGAACAGAACAACTCACCTGGGGCAGAGGTCTGGCGGGTCGACAGTGCATGCCGCCCACCTCCACCTGTGAGGGCAGGACAACTCACCTGGGGCAGAGGTCTGGCGGGTCGACAGTGCATGCCGCCCACCTCCACCTGTGAAGGCAGGAGGGGCAGTGGTATACCAATACTAAAGTGGGTGTTCATCAGCGCCAGACTCATGTTCCTCTCCAGGTCCAACAGCGGCGGCAGCTCCGGGAACTGCGCAGAGATCTGAGGAAATAGGAACCAGGCCTTAATTGCAAGTAGATCAGATACTTCCACAAAAAGTGGAGAACGTCAAATATAAACACTCCAGTAAACCCTCCAATACTTTCTCTGCACTACTTAAGGTGTTGTCCATTAACCCATAATCAATAGCATCTTAAAAAAAATATAATTTAGATCATTCCTCAGTTTTTGTATAGTTCACACTGCAGTACTTACAGATGAATTAAACTTACCTCCTTCTGCACCCTGGGTATGTTAACCCAAAGCCGCCAGTAAATCGCAATTCCAATATGAGTAATGGTGTTGCGGAGGCGATGCCAGAAGGAGTAAGGGCTGGGATAATCAGTCATGTGGTTGGGAACGTAGCCTGGGTGGAAGACGTTGCCCAGTACGGCACTTTGCCGGTAGTCAAACCCTGGAGTGGTGAGCGTAATGAAGGGAGCCTCGTGCACGAACGGGTACATCATCTGCAGACATAGTAAGCTTATGGCATACCTTTACCTGGATACATAGCTGCGATATTATGAACCTGCATCAATTAAAAACATCGTCCACAGTAAATTTGTGGCTTAAACTGACCCGAAGCTCCAGGTAAAAGAGTCTAACATAACGATGTGGAAAAATCCAATACAGAATGATATATAAATGTTGTTGTTCTAGATTCTAGTAGCACGGGTTATTTTGAGCCCGTAGTGGACTTGTGTTATGACCCCATGTCGCCTGGGTGGAACAAGTCTACCCCAGCGAGAGTTATTCTGCCTTCTAGACCTGATTGAGAGGTCAGAGGAAAGATGTATATATTAAATAATTGAGTAAACATCAGTGAGTACTCTCAGGATACTAGGAGAGGATAGGTGTTGGTAATAAGTGACATGAAATATGTCAATACTTCGGAGACGAAGTGATGCTAGCCAGAGGTCGTGACTTCACTAGAGTCGCAACTGTCATCAGAGGTGGTTGTACTTCGTACCCTGTGTTAGTGGTGGAGTGAAGACTACTTGTCTGCAAGTGTGAGAAGGCTGTTGGGGACATAGTACACCATGTCTCTGTGATTTTGGTAAATTAGAGGAGACCTGCAAGTGAGTGTTGGTCGCACATTGGTGAAACTCTAGTTGTTGTGCCTTCATGAGGAAGGAAGTAAGCAGGCATTTCTGTTGTGGAGCCTGCCAGGCGACGTTGTGAACTCAAGTCGTAGACTGCAGGAAGCCTTGTGAGGCAGTGCTGAAGTATTTTTGTGGGTGGCTTATGTGAGCGCCATGTTTGAGCTCCAGTGAATGAGCGTCCTCACGACAGAGATTTCCGTGGTTTGTTTTGGAAGGAATTTGTGGAGAAATCTTAAGGTTAGAGAAGAAGTTAATGGAGGAACTTCGAGGCTGGAGAAGAAGTGTATGCTGAACTCTGTGGTAGAGCAGAACTCCATAGTGAAGAGTTGATTTCAAGCAGTGTAAAGGAGATACACGTGTCTGTGGAATCAATGGTGAAGCGTCACTGATGGCGGTTTAGGACTTCGTTATGCAGCAGATTGGGAGAACTGCAGAAGTGCCTTTCCTGATATTTTGGAGGACCTCGAGATATGTATTGGTGGTGAGCCTCTAGCAGAACAGAGGGTTCATGGTGGACAAACATGATTGTATAAGGGGCGTATTTGAATGCTTTTGGCATGTAAGACGCAGTGTAAGGGAGAGATTGAGTTCTTCATTTGTTGGTGATACTTATGTAGATGTTTCTAGTGTTTCAGCCCCAAGCTGAGTTTCGTATACTTTTAGGGCTAAGGGTATAGTATTGTTATGATAGGATTTCAGCCCCATTTAGTGAGGAAGTAGTAAGTGGTAAGCCAAGAGTTGAGCAGCCACTTGACATGGACAGTTGGTGAAGCCAGGATATGATATTGGAATGCTACCGGGTTGTAGCAATTTAGAGTGTTGTATGATAATGTTCTATTTTATATGTCATGTATTATGTAGGTTTTCTTTGTATATTAAATATATTTGTTAGCTGGCTTTTGCTCTTATCCTGGTGAAGTTTTCCAGAAAGCGGGAGAGAGAGAGAAGGTCACAGCTGCGGACAGGGTTGCAGAAGATACTAATTCACGAAAAGGGGATTTAGATCATTCCAAATAAGGAGAGAGTGGGGGAGTCACGGCGGCTCGAGTAGGGTGTGTGTGCACAAGACAACAAAGGCCAGTGTTGGAGCCGCATCCCTAAATATGTGATGCTGAACCCCTCTCCAAGATCAAGAGGCGAACAGGGTGATCTAGGTAAATTACAAGCACTCCAGTGTCCATTGCTGGTTGACCAACGGTATCTGGAGTGTGGCTGCCGAGGTCAGTTGTTTGTTCCATCAAAGAGTGGTTGGGGACGCTATCCGCCTGTATGCAAATAACGGTCCGGTGCAATAACCAGAGCTCTCTTTTGGAGGTTTAAGTCCCAAAATCCCCAACCTCTCAGGGCAAAACTCCTGGCACAGGAGCCGGGTTGTATCCTGTATATAAATGGATACATAAATGAAATATCATATATCTTAATGTAGTACACCACACGGACAAAGGACGACGTGTGGCCAGTTGGGCTATAAATAGTCAACCCATATGGTCTCTTGAAAACTATATTTAGTTTTCTACAAGGCAGCTACAGGCATGCACCCACTACAATCTGTTGAATCAGCAAAGGCTCACTGGTGTACCATCTACTCACTGGTGTACCATCAGCTCACTGGTGTACCATCAGCTCACTGGTGTACCATCAGCTCACTAGTGTACCATCTAGCTCACTAGTGTACCATCTACTCACTGGTGTACCATCAGCTCACTGGTGTACCATCAGCTCACTGGTGTACCATCTACTCAGCCTGGGTAAGAGAGGTCGTGTCGTCATCCATGCAGCAGTCGTTCTAAAAGTCTGGGGCCTGGATGTCTTCAAGAAAGTGGATGTCTTCAAGAAAAGATGGATAGATTTCTTCAAGAACTGGTGAACCAACTGGGCTGTAGTGGATATGTGGGCCTGTGGCCCGCTCTAAGCAACAGCCTATTGGACCAAGCTCTCACAAGTCAAGCTTGGCCCTGGGCCATGCTTGGGAGTAGAAGAACTCCCAGAACCCCATCCAGGTACAGAGAAGCTTGGCTCAAAGACAGCCTGGACATCAGACCTTAACTGAGCCCCCTTTTTCTGTTTATTTTACATTTTTCAGTGCATGTAAATTTAATCTAATTTTATTCTAATTTATTAAGGGTTATCCACAAATGATACATATACACCGACAAGTTAAGATCATGCTTTAACAGGTTTTCTCCAGCAGCACTTAATTACTTGCCCAAGAAGCAGCTGGAATTTTCTTAGGGTAATTGGAACGTTGTAAATGTTAATATAATATCACTCAAAGAAATAGGAAAGCTGTATGCTGGAAACCTAGAGAAGGAAGGTTTGGCCAATACTCCAATAACAGCTCTGGACATATCCAGGACTATGATGAAAATCGCAGTTTTTATATAGTAAAAATTTTACTATATAAAAACTGCGATCACAAACAGAACACAATTAATACTCACAAAGATACAGAAGAATAACGTTTTCTTTAATATCATCTCGAATGAATGGCTCTCTTCCTTACTCACAAGATAAATGAGAAGCTCTCACCTCATTCAACGCATGATCTACTATAAAAAGATCAAACGACTTCCTCCTCTCAT